TTTACTATACTGTTGTTGTTAAGTGTCATCGAGTCAGTTCCAACCCATAGTGACCCTGTGTAGGTTTTCTGAAGAGCAGCTGATGAGCTTGAACCAACTTTGGTGGTTCAGACCAACTTTGCAGTCCAACACATTAACCAACAGTGCCACACCAGGACTCCATTACTATATATTACTATACCAAGGAGCTCTGGTAGCATAGTGGTTACGAATCAGGCTGCAAACCATAAGGTCAGCAGTTCAAAACTATCAGCCGCTCCGAGGGAGAAAGATGAGGCTTTCTGCTCCCGTACAGATTTACAGCCTTGGAAACCCTGTACAAGGTCGCTATGGGTCGGAATCAACTCGACGGCACTTAACAACAACAAGGGTCTTCAAACAGTTCTTGGAAATTTTGCATTCTTTTTTATTCCATTTTTCCACAAAATTTTTGAAGCTAGTATGTATTTCAAAATTACATATAGTTATGGATCCTGAAGTTAGGTACGTTTATAAATCTAAGTCTTTGTTTTCTCTGCAAATGGAAATGAAACCAAGCTTCAATCTGAATAGATGAATACACAAAAGGTAGTAAAATAGAATAAAGTTAAAATAAGTGAGAAAGGAAAGGAAAACAAAGACAAAATGCAGTCAAGAATATGACTAATTGTCACAAGAGACTTACTATTAAAGTTTTCTATATTTGTCACAGACTTGTTTTTAAGTTGTTTACTTGCAAGGTAAGCAGTAACAACAAGGGAATATGCACACCCCTTAAAACATTCAACCATGTTGTTGTTAAATACTGTTGAGTTGGTTCCGACTCATAGAGACCCTGTATAGTGTTTCCAAGGAGTAGTTGGTAAGTTTGAATTGCTGACCTTGCACCACACCAAGGAGGAAGCATTTGTTCAGGGATAAATCTCAGATAGCAGAAAGAGATAGGAAAGAAAAATGAATGGAAACAGGATACACAGGGAAAAAGTGGGAAGGATGTTGCTACATTGTGGGGACTGCAGTCAATGTTAGGAAATAAAACGTGCATATTGTTGAATGGAAAACAAATTTACTCTGTAAACTTTCACCCAAATCACAATAAAATGTTTTTAAAGAAGATATCAAAAAAAAGTATGAAAAGTATAGCTGTATTAATACAGCAACATAAATTTAGCTTTAAGTTTTTTGGTTTTTTTCCCTTAGTGTAAACCTTTTATTGTAGCATAATATAAATACGTAAAAGTATACAAATCGTTAGTGTACTACAGCCCAATGGATTTTATTGGTTCTGTGTTTATAATACCCAATATAAGGAGGGTAATCTGAACATGTATACAGTTCACCTTATCCATAAGATAAAACTGCAGCTAAACTAGTTGTTTCATGCATATAGGTCTTTGTATTACACAGTTTGGGCATAAGTTCCAACTATAACACTTAATACTTTCAACCTCTATTAAGTTGGACAAGTTATTTATGTTCTCCAACCGTGAGTGTCCTCAAATCCAAGCTGAGATAATATATAAATGAGATCATAACAATGCCTACCTCAAAAGGGAATCTGTTGTGGTACTGTAGGACAAGCACTTGACTGGTAACTGCAAGGTCAGTGGTTCAAACGCCTCCAAAACCCTATAAAGGGTCACTATGAGTCGAACAGACTCAACAGCACTTAACAACAACATAGGGATTTTAAAGATTAAGTGGGTTGATTTAAGTAAAACTTTTAGCATTATTCCTAGCACATAGCAAGGATTTAGTAAAGGTTAGCTGTCATTTTCTTATTTTTAAATAAAATTATCCGTTTTTACTTTGAGTAAACAAGTTTTTAAAAAGTATTTTAAATTTTGATTTTACATTGTCAAAACTTTAGGTAATAAATCCCGGAAAGAATTTTTCCTAGAATACTCAAACGATGACATCATGATAATCCTTCAGCATCTTGTGCTGAAGGATCAGCACTGGATTACTAATCACAAGGTTGGTGGTTCCCAAACCCACCAGTCGCTCCTTGGAAACTATACAGGGTTGCTATGAGTCGGAACCAACTCAACGGCACTAAACAATAACATAGCTCAGTAATAATTTGATAGGGAACTAACAATGAATTATTTTGCTCATTTTTATTGACAGAGTTATGTAAAGATGGTCCTTGCCATCAAATAACTAACAGTCTATTAAGGAAGAGAAACCAGTGACAGGAAACAATTGTAGGATAAACTGTGTGGCCTGGAAATAAGAGCTTATCAATCGGAAACAATAGAGTGGACTGACACATTAGGGAAAACTTCCTAAAATAAACAGTATAAATTTTCCTCGTATCTTTTAACTACAAAAGCAAGTAGTTTTTCGGGATGCCATTTTGGCTGCTTCTACTACATTGGGGTAATTTCTTGAGAACTGATGCTTAGGAAAGAAATAGAACCATACTCTAGCTCTTTCTCTTTGTAGTATTAAGGAACCACTGTCTCTGAAAATAGTTGTCTAGAGCATTGTGAGTCTTGTCCTATTATAGAGGAAGCAGTGGCCATTTTTGGGTGTGAGGAGGAAAATACCCGGGCTGACTTAATGGTGATCGTAGTCAACTTTAATGCATTCAGGACCAGCTAAATTCTTGAAAGAATGCTGCTCTTATTTAACCACTTGAAACAATTTGTAAATGATAACTTCTGATGATAAATTAAAACATTAATCATTTCTAGAATGAATATGTTAGGCTGCTATACAAGGAGACTTCAAGAAGCTTGTGGAAAATTCTATTATCTTTTAATTCCATTTTTCCATGACTTTTTGAAGCCCTTTCGTAATTGCTAAAATTGACCAATGTTAATACAGCTTTGTTGTTTTAAATTACCAATACAGTCCCTGTATCTTCTAGATATTTCCTCTGTATTTGATACTTGAATGATCTTGATAAAAATTGGTTTGTCTTTTCACTGATACCTGTATTTGGTTTTCTACATTCTTCCTTTCACTGCACTTTTAATTTTTCATTATTTGTCCATGCAGTCTGTCATACAAAGGAAAAGCCTATGCCTTATGTATGCAGGCTTTTTTTTTTTTTTTTTTAACTTTTTACTGTGAATTGAGTCATGATCATCAGCTTTACTTTCAACCAATCATATGTACTGTTTCATCTAAAGGATTACAATCCCCTCCCTGCCACAGCAGTTACCCTATTTCCTCCCTGTGGCTTCCCTTTTGCATTTTATTTTTCACAAATCAACGAAATAAAAATATTTCATGTACACATACAAAACAAAATATATATATACATTTAAATGTCCAAAGGGCACATTTTGCAAGCCAGCCTCCTGCCTGCAGGCACACTGCCTTTCTCAGTCCATGGACTTAGATTAGAGTCCTCTCAGATGCTCTGTCTCTCCACGCCATCACCTCTGCCACAGTCTCTGCTGTCGCAGCTTTTCTAGGTAGGCTCTCACTATGCAGGCTTTTTTGTTGCTGTTACAGTGCTATTGTTCACCAGGCACTAAGGAATAAGCCCTGGGTTCTGCTTTCTGTGAGCCTTTGCCATATTTTTAGTGATTAAGATGATAAAAATTGGGCTTCAGGACCCACATGTGATCAGAAGCAACTGGTTGTCTCTCCATCTCTCAACTAAAGGGTTAATGAATGCAAACAGATGAAAGTAAACTTGTTAATGCAGTGAGATTATAGAGCTGTTTCTTAAGGATAGACCAACTATATCTATTGACCTCACAGAAGACTAGTATAGAAACATAAAGTGCCAGTTTATTATTTTACAATAATTTTTATGATGGCCTGGAATTATTATATTGGCATGGCTAACTCACCCTTTCCTTTAGGGAGACACATGGGAAGCCAAGTTATGATCAGAAAACCATTTGGAGAGAGTGGAATCAGAACATGGGGACTGTCTCCAAAGGAATTGATATATAAGGGAAGTAATATGCAGAGAGTTTTGGGAAAGACACCGTCTCTGAACTTGAATGGATTATGCCATTGTTTACCTTAATTATTACTGGGTTTATTTAATCAGTTCATATGTAAGAGATTTATTTTTAATCCAGGAAGTAAAGGGAAGATATTGAAGGGTTTCCGGCAGGGTGGGATACCATCAGATCTGTGTTTTTGAAAGATGACTGGTGGTGGCATAGAGGCTGGTTGAGGGGAACTAGAAGCCTTGAAACCATTTAGGAAGAGGTTCTAGTTGTCCAAATGTTTCACAAAGATGGCTGCATAGGGATGGAACAGAGGAAAGAGCAAAAGCAAACAAGATGTACTTTACTCATACTCAGATTCTCACCAAGTGGCTCCCTGACTTTTCTATATTAAATATTTTTTCTCTATACCTCAAGAAATGTTTCTTAAGAGAGAGTTTAGATTTGTCCAAAAGGCATAGGATAAGAGACTGTGCCTCTGATACTGTTCAAATTTTTACATTTAGGTCTAACTTTAATTTTATCACAGAAATACTTGCTTGAATGAACTCATATCAGTTTATACAAAAGAGGGAATTACCCAAGAAAAGGCCAAGCACTATAGCTGTAGTTCTTTAAAGCAAAGCAAACGAAAATAGTGTTTTGCCTTAGAAGAAACAAGTTCCCAATTTCCTGCAAAGGAAAGTAGTTTCTTTCAGTTTGTTTTGGTACATTTTAGTTTTAGTATTCTCATCTGAGAAGAGATAAAAATACTCTTGGCCTAACTCAAGCACTATTCTTATATTGTTGTTGTTGTTAAGTGCCATTGAGTTACTTTGAATTCATGTGATGTGTCATGGAGTCGGTTCTGACTCATAGCAACCCTCTACAGGGTTTCCAAGGCTGTAAATGCTTACGGGAGTAGAAAGCCTCTTATCTGTAAAAATTGAATGAATGCCAAGCTACTTAGCAATGATACATGCCCACTTCTTATGTGTAAAAATTGACACTTAATATTGGTAAGAAGTCATTTTTATCTGTCTTTGAAAACTTTTATAGCTTCCTTTCTCAAGGAAAATTTTATTTGGATGCAACAAGCAGATATGACAACACAGTTTGTTTTTGGAAGGTATATCCAGGTTTCTTAATTGTTTGAATTTTCTTAAATTCAACCTTTTTACATTTCTGTTCTTTAGGTCTGCCAAAATGTCTGAAAGATCAGATCTCCTCCACTTCAAGTTTGAAAATTATGGAGATTCAATGTTACAAAAAATGAACAAATTAAGAGAAGAGAATAAATTTTGTGATGTTACAGTTCTCATAGATGATATTGAGGTACAGGGACATAAAATTGTGTTTGCTGCAGGTTCCCCCTTCTTAAGAGACCAGTTTTTACTGAATGATTCCCGAGAGGTGAAAATCTCCATATTACAGAGTTCTGAAGTGGGGAGACAATTGCTATTATCCTGTTATAGTGGTGTGCTGGAATTCCCTGAGATGGAGCTGGTAAATTACTTGACTGCTGCAAGTTTTCTTCAGATGAGCCATATTGTAGAACGATGCACACAGGCCCTGTGGAAGTTTATAAAGCCAAAACAACCAGTGACTAGCAAAGAGGGATGTGAACAGCAGAGCTCTTCTCCCCAGTCAAAAGAACAGCAGGGAGAAACCAGAGGCTCCCCAAAGCAGGACTCACCTTGTATTCATCCATCTGAAGACAGTATGGATATGGAGGACAGTGATATTCAGATTGTTAAGGTAGAATCTATTGGGGATGTGTCAGAGGTTAGAAGTAAAAAAGATCCAAACCAGTTTATTTCTTCTGAACCCACTGCTTTACATTCATCAGAGCCCCAGCATTCCCTGATAAATTCAACTGTGGAAAACAGAGTAAGTGAAATAGAACAAGACCATCTTCACAATTATGCACTCTCTTACACAGGCAATGATAACATCATCATGGCCTCAAAAGATGTCTTTGGGCCTAATATTCGAAGTGTAGACAAAGGTCTACAGTGGCATCACCAATGTCCAAAGTGTACCAGGGTGTTTCGTCACCTGGAGAACTACGCCAACCATTTAAAAATGCACAAACTCTTTATGTGTCTACTCTGCGGCAAGACTTTTACTCAGAAAGGCAATCTTCATCGACACATGCGTGTACATGCCGGCATTAAACCTTTCCAATGTAAGATCTGTGGGAAAACCTTTTCTCAGAAGTGTTCCTTACAGGATCATCTTAACCTTCACAGTGGAGATAAACCACATAAGTGTAACTATTGTGACATGGTTTTTGCACATAAGCCAGTTTTGAGGAAACACCTTAAACAGCTGCATGGCAAAAACAGCTTTGATAATGCCAATGAAAGAAATGTACAAGACCTCACAGTGGACTTTGATTCATTTGCATGTACAACAGTCACTGATTCTAAAGGGTGTCAGCCACAGCCAGATGCAACACAGGTCCTGGATGCAGGTAAACTGGCCCAAGCTGTTCTGAACTTAAGGAATGATAGTACTTGTGTAAATTGATTAGGGGCTTCTTCCTGCTCTCTAGATCAGACTGTGAAGCAACAATAGTGTGAGTCTTTGTAGAAGTGACTTTGATAGTTTTTTCCCAAAGCTCTGTTCAGGTTGTAGGGGCTGAGTCAAAGCACTAAGTGACCAGATAGCTTACCACATGGAGTGGTCTTACCTTCCTTTATCCCGCTCCCATTTTCTGTTTTGAATTATTTATCCTGTGATATGTGTTTTCCTTCCCCAAGTATTCCATTTGTCTACCTAACATTGACCTGTGTTTCAGACTGATACTGTTTTATGTTTTTCACTGGGAACATTCTGAAGGTACCAACAAATTAATATCACCTAATACATCTCTACCAACAGATAAGATGCTAAGAAAAGTGAATCATATTTTTCTTTCACAGAATTAACTATAAGGTGATGTTGCTATTGATCTGAAATGAGTATGTGGTAGAACTTCTGGTTGTCTATTGATAATTGATTTATGTCTGATCAGTGAATGAATGTGCTTCCTACTATTTGTGTTTGTCTTAAAGTTGGTTATAAAGGAGTATTTTGGTTCTATCTCTTTTCAACAGTATTATAACCTAATTTCATGTCTATAAATTGTTCATGTAAACCAGAGTACCATATATTCAGCAAACTTGCAGTTGTTGTTGTTATGTGCCGTGGAGTCGGTCCCGACTCGTAGCGACCCTGTACAGGGTTTCCGAGGCTGTAAATCTTTACGGGAGCAGAATGCCTCCTCTTTCTCCCGCGGAACAGCTGGTAGTTTTGAACTGCTGACCCTGAGGTTAGCAGCTCGATTCGTAACCACTATGCTACCAGAGCTCCTAACTTGCAGTTAGGGATCACAATGATGAACATAAACTGCAAAGGAAAGAATTGTGATTATGTAACAGCACTTATAAGGGAGGTATTCCTAGTAGCGCATCCCAACAAGAGGTCAGATTTTTATAATTAAAGTGTCATTTACCTTTTGATACTTTTGATGTCAGGATTGCTCCAGGCACACTTAAAATGTGCTGAAGTTATAATGGTCCCTTTAAAAGAGGGCTGTCTAAACTTTGTTCAGTGAACCCTGGTAGTTCAATGCCTAAGCACTCCTGTGCTAACTGAAAGGTCAGTGGTATGAACCACCAACCACTCCATGAGAGAAATATATGGCATTCTGCTCCTGTAAAGATTTAGAGCTTTGGAAACCTGTGGGGCAGTTCTACTCTGTCCTACAGGTCAGTGGGAGTCAGAATCAACTGGACGACCAGGATAATGGGAAACGTTATTTCACAGTTCAGTTACCAGAAAATTGAGTTCGTTCATCAGAATTTGTCCAATGTACTGTAAGAGTCTAATTTCCTAGTGTAGCTTAACTTCTGAAATGGATGAAAATAGTTAAGTGACTCACAGGAGGGACAATCAAATATTTACATTCAGATTTCTTCTTGAAAATATACAATTCCACCTTCCCACTTCTGATAGATTACTAATACAAAGTTGATCTTCAGCACATCCTATACTTCAAAAATAAATGTTTGAGTGTTATTTGTTTCTGACACATGGGTTAGATTTAAGAGATATTAAGAGTGCTAGCGTCCTTAGAGAAGTTTAAGGGATCATTTTAAGTTGGGACATCCAAAGTTCAAAGAGGTGGCTGGACTTAAGGTTGGCCAAAGTAGCTACATAGTTACACTTACTTCCACTGTCCTCAGCCTTAAAAAGATAATAGTTAGTACATGATCAAGAATAATGTACTAACAAAAAGTTCTCAATGTTTTATTTTGCTTTTGTGTATTCCTGTTGACATTCTGAGACTTTGTCAACAAAATATCACAGAGGGATTTATTTATGTTAGTTGTTTCTGTTTAGAATGAGTATTATACCCTTCCCAAGTAAATGATTAATTTGCTGAGTGTTGGTTAGGGAAAGAAAAGGCATTATTAGCAAGTTAAATAATGTGAGTATGATTAAAATGTGAAACTGATTTTGTCTGAAAACAGTGTTTACTTAGTTTCTATGAGACTTTTTTGTTTTTATTTTGAGCTGTGTGAGTACATGAACTATTAAACCAAAAATAAGGCTTACTTTGTATAGCTGGAGGGAATTCTTAAAGTTGTTATAATTTGATGCATTTGCATGGGAATTTTATTTTGATATAATTTCTACCATTTGTTCAAAGATTTGAAATAAGAATACGGTTGAGTGATAGACTAGTAGGTATAGTTTGTGCCTAAAGTCACTCATTAGGTAGTCCAGTGATGCTTCCTAGCATTCTAATTTTTATATGGTCCAGCCAAAGAGTACCCTTTCTATGCAACAGTGAGGCACTAACATCAATCAGAGTTTTATGTTTTCTCTGAACATCATTTCATCACAGAGGAATTTCAAATCACAGTGCTTCTTTTGCTCACATATATGTCTGATTTGTTCTTACTGTTTCTTTTTTGTTGTTGTTGGTTTAACTTGTTTAAAGACTTGCAAGTATGGATTCAAAGAAGATTGGTCTCTTTGGCTGGAAAATGTTTCTGGGTTAATTCAGTCATTCAAGAAATACTTATTAGGCACCTACTATTGCCAGGCACTATACTAGACATTGGGGGTATGAAGGTAAGATTAATACAGTCTCTGTCCTTACAGAGTTTCTTGTCTCATGTGTCTTAGTGACACAATGTCTCAGTTTGATTTTATACTAATAAAACTGCCCTGTTTTCTTTTGATCACTTAAAATCAGCATCTTGATAACTGTCTCATTAAAACTTTCTTAAATTTTTTTCAAATATAAATGACAGAGGATTTACAGTTTCCTCCATTTCTTGACTGGAGAGGTATTCTGTGTTTCTGTGAGACCTAATATTTGTTTATATATGTTTTTTAAATTATACTGCAAAATGGTCAAGTTACTGACAACTAATATGTTTCATAGGGAAGTTCATTTGTGAATAATACAGGAGGGGGATTTTTTAAGAGGAGAATTTTTAAAACTTTAGTTATTAGCATCTATATTTTATGAATCCCCCAAGATAACTAAAAAGGGGTGAGGACTCTATCACAGTTTGTTTGTTTGTTTTTAATTACTGTGTCACAATTATTTATTTATTATTTAATTCGTAAGACCAACTCCAAACTGAAATGACTCTGAGGTAAAACAGATGTGGTTTTAATTCATTTTGTTGATTTATTTTAAAAATCAATAAATGGGGGTGAATAGTGTCACTGCTTCTAAAATATTGTCCTAAATAACCAACCCAGAACATCTTATTTCAGCTCATGAATAGCTGCTCTAAATCTGTTGTATGTTAGACATACTATGAACTACCTCTTCACTTATTATGGGGAAGTTTCCGTAATAAAAGTGTGATAATTAAAGCTCTGATGTCTGTGGTTTGTTTTCTCACTTTCTCCTCTTGTGTTCTGCTTGCTTTTTCTATTGTTTGAATGTGAGTCACTATTTCCCACTTCATGCCTGTTCTTGAAAGCATGTATTGAGGAAACCTGCTGAGATTGCCTTCAGAAGAAAATATGATTTAACCAGAAATGATTGTTACTAGAATCAGTTACTTCCTTGAGAGAGTTTTGATTAACAGAGCAGAGCAACTGCTTTTAAGAACTGGTTCGTATATCCCTTCGTTGGGCAAATATTTCAGTGTCTACTAAATGCTCTGGGGCAATGGTGATTCAGTGGTAGAATTCTCACTTATCATGGAGACCTAAGTAAGATTCCTGGCCAGTGTACCTCATGTGTAGTCAGTCATCCTTCTCTTTCTGTGGAGGCTTGTATGTTGCTATCTTGCTGAACAGGTTTCAGCAGTTTCTAGACTAAGCAGAAGTGGGAGGAAAGGTCTATTTCCAAAAATCAGCCAATAAAAACACCATAACCAATTGTGAAACTGGCACAGAACTGCAACATTCATGCAAGGTGTCACCACCAGTCAGGGGCTAACTTGAGCACAGATACCAACAAAGTTAAGTGTCATCCAGGCAGTTCTGACTCACCGTGTATAGGGTTTCCGAGGCTGTGGGAAGAGAAAGTCTCATCTTTCTCCCGTGCAGTAACTGGTGGACAGTCCAGTGCTTAATCTCTCGAGCCACCACGCCTTGTAACAACCAACTCATAGGGTTTCCAAGGACCGACTGGTGAATTTGAACTGCAGACCAGTACAGTGCTTATCCTACAGCGCTACACCAGGACTCCTATAACAAAGTTATATGCCGTGGAGTGAGCTCCCACTCATAGCGACCGTCTACAGGGTTTCCGAGGCTGTAAATCTTTACGAGAGCAGAAAGCCTCATCTTTCTTCCTTAGAACAGCTGGTAGTTTCGAACTGCTAACCGTGAGATTAGCCTGATTCTAACCACTACCCTACCTAAATACCTCCAACTGTTTTTAAGTGCGGGATCCAGTTGGTTTGACCGCTAGCGGCACTATAGGAGATTTCGAAAGAGCAGCTGGTGGAATTGAGCTGCTGACCTTTTGGTTCGCAGTTCAGTGCTGATCCTACAGCACCACACCAGTACAAATACATCCAACTAGATGAGACAAAACAATTTAAATATAGGTTTGATAAATGCAGTAATGAAGACAAGCAATGGGATTATGTGCGTCCAAATAGGGGCCAACTAATCTAGGGGCAGTTCAGGAAGACTTCAGGGATGATAAGTTTTTTTGACGTATAAATGGGAAGACATTATGTCAGGGGAAACAACAGGTCTGAACGTTCAGAATGGAGCAATGACAGAAGGTGAGGCCAAATAAGTAGCCCTATCGTGGTCCGCAGCCGCCCTTTAAGTTGTTATAAATTTGTGAGGGGCCCCTACGTGGCCTGGCTCAGAGCACTTGGACGTGATTCGCTGTAGCCTCATTTCCAACTAGGGCGTCTGGAAGAACTCACAAAGGATAATGGCTTGCGTGAAGTAACTGAGACAGGAAAGACAGGGCTCACTAGAATTTGTGTATCTTTCTGTCATTAAAAGGAAGGGGGTGGGGAGAGTGGAGACCATCTAAAGATGTCCTTCCGGGGCGTCCAGGCTGCCCTCGTGAAGAATTAAGCAGGTTGATACCGGATGTGTTTTCTTCCAACCCAACTTCCGGTTAGTGCCGCCGCTACCGCGGAACCCTGAACTAGTTCGCTGAGTCTGTGAGTAAGTTCGCAGAGCTTCGGGCAGGTACGAAGGCCTGAGCAAGACGAAAAGGAGGAGGGCAGCACGGCGCGGTTCCTGGGTAGCTAATCTGTTGCTTTGCCCACCTGGTCGTTAGGGCCTTGGCAGGCTTGTTTCAAGGAAACCTGTGTGAGGAGCTGGAGTCATCTTTGAAGCCACCTTGGCATCAGGTTTCAGTTCAGGAGATTGTCCTGAACCCCTGCTGTTAGGTACCAGCCCCTGTCCTGGATGTAGAAGGATAAATCAATCAGGCATCATTACAGGTTGCTCTGGGACCAATAAACTCCGAGGAATACGGAATAATCATAGAAGTAGTATTTGACTTGGGTCTTAAAAAGTCCGTCACTAACTGGAAAAAGGAATCCGAGGCGCCAGTCAATCATTTGTACAAAGATGTATTCAGGCTTTTTCTGTCTGGGCAATGATATACTATTGAAGCAACTTCGAATAGTATATTCGAATATGAAATAGAGAAGTGGGTTATAAAGATAGGTTAGAGCCAGATGGTGGAGAATCGTGTATACTGTGCTAAAGAGGTAGGTTAATCTGACCTGGAGATAGAGGACAGCCATGGAGTAATTAAAGCAGAAGAGCAAAATTTAAGAAAAAATGTTAAGTGAATTCTAGTGACAAGGGGATAGTTTGGAATGTGGTGTCAAGGAGACCTAATGGAAGACATAACAATGTATTGAGTGAAAAGAATGAGGAACTGCATTAGTGGTTGTTGTTAAGTGCCATCGAGTCGGTTCTGACCCATTGCAACCCTGTATAGGGTTTCCAAGGAGCAGCTGATGAGCTTGAACCAGTAGTGGTGGGGAGTAGGAATTTTGAAAATTACATTAAGGTGTTTGATTTGGGATACTATGTTAAATTTATTTGTGGTGGTCACTGCTTGTTACTGAATACTTAAAATTAAGAAAACATAAATTTTAGCAAAGTACATGAACAATAGAAACTGTTGACTTTCTATGTGAGATTCATTGCATTATAATTCAATGTGATAAATGCTATAGAAAATGTATGAAAAATACACTGTGAGATCAGAGAAATGCATTATAATTTTCTAAGTTTTAAGACAGTGGCACAGGGGCTCACTCCTTAACATCCAGATTTAAATTTTGTTTGTTGTTAATGGTTTGTTTTGCTGTCACAGCAGAGGAAAGCATTCCTCAACTTTACATCACTGCATGTGTTTTATTTTGCTTAGATCGTGACCATGGCTGCTGAGTCTGATGTTCTACACTTCCAGTTTGAACAGCAAGGAGATGTGGTTTTGCAGAAAATGAATCTTTTGAGACAGCAGAATTTGTTTTGTGATGTATCAATTTATATTAATGATACTGAGTTCCAGGGGCACAAGGTTATTTTGGCTGCTTGCTCCACTTTCATGAGAGATCAGTTTTTACTCACCCAATCAAAACATGTCAGAATCACCATCTTGCAGAGTGCAGAAGTTGGCAGGAAATTATTGCTGTCTTGTTATACTGGAGCACTTGAAGTGAAAAGGAAAGAACTTTTGAAATATTTGACTGCTGCTAGTTACCTTCAGATGGTTCACATTGTAGAAAAATGCACAGAAGCATTGTCAAAGTATTTAGAAATTGATCTTTCTATGAAAAACAACAACCAGCATACTGACCTGTGTGAGTCCTCTGAGCTAGATGTTAAAAATGAAGAAGAAAATTCAGATAAAGACTGTGAGATCATTGAAATTTCAGAAGATAGTCCTGTAAGCATGGATTTCCATGTTAAAGAGGAAAGCAATGCTTTACAGTCTGCAGTAGAGAGCTTGACATCAGAGAGAAAAGAAATTAAGTCACCAGAGCTGTCTACAGTAGATATAGGTATTAAAGACAATGAAATTTGTATTCTTCGTGTGGAATCTATCGGTACAGCTGGTGTAGAAAATGAGCAGTTTTCACAGCCTTGTACTTCTTCAAAAGCAAACATGTATTTCTCTGAAACACAACATTCACTGATCAATTCTACAGTTGAGAACAGAGTGACAGAAATTCCTGGGAATCAAGCCCAGGACATATTTTGTGACAATACTGAAGGAAGTCATGGTACAGTGAATGAAATTCAGAATCTGGAAGAGAGTTATTCACTGAGGCACCAGTGCCCCAGGTGCCCTCGAGGCTTTCTTCATGTTGAAAACTATCTACGCCACCTTAAGATGCATAAACTTTTCTTGTGCTTACAGTGCGGGAAAACATTTACACAGAAGAAAAATCTCAACCGGCACATTCGAGGACATATGGGCATACGGCCCTTTCAGTGTAGTGTATGCTTGAAAACATTTACTGCCAAAAGTACCCTTCAGGACCACTTGAACATACACAGTGGGGATCGTCCATACAAATGCCACTGTTGTGACATGGATTTCAAGCACAAGTCGGCCCTCAAAAAGCACTTAACCTCTGTCCATGGTAGAAGCAGTGGTGAAAAATTACCAAGGCCTGACCTCAAAAGGCAAAATCTACTATAATTAGAATCATACACCTGCTATGTAAGCCTTACATTGTTCTTTTAACCAAGACTTTTTATACAAATGCATCATTTGTAATACTGCATTTCCCCCTTGTCTTTTGGTTTTATTTTTGTCTGCCTATACGTGTTACTCTATCTAAGCTTCTACTAACAGTTGTAAAGTTGTAGAAGGCATCAAAACTCTGATGGGATTCTCTTTTACCTCATATGTTATAAGTCCCAGTGGCATGTCTAGAGAAAAAGTGTTCCTCTCTTATTAAATTTTCTTGATTTTAGTGATAAAAGGGGTTCAACAGTAATTCTAGATTCTGATTTGGAATCTTAGATGATCTCATTTCAATGAAAAATACAAACTCTTTAAGGAATTAGGTTAACAGTAAGAGATTAAATCTGAAATCATTATGACTGGCTATAAGTCACTTTTAAAAGCTGATAAAAGTAATGAATTTCTAATTTTTTAAATTTTAACGAATTGCTCTTGGATTCTAAAATAAATAGAAAGGACCCTGTTGTTTTAAACTATAAAGAACACAATTCAAATTCACCTGGGAGTAGCAGAATTGCCTTATACATATTCCTTAATTTTATTTTATTGAGTTACTATCATACATATTTTAGAAGTGATAAATTATGTCCCAAGTTTCTTTATTTTATTTAAGACAGTTGCATTGGATAATTTTTGTGACTAGTAAAATTATACCATTGACATGAAGCTAAATATCTAAAAAATTGCTTCTAGAAATTCTAAATTTATGAATGACATGTGCTTTATTGTTTCCTTTTTATTTTAATCAACATGGTAAAATTTACCTCTTTTTGGTGTACAGGTCTGTGAATTTTTACACATTTGTGCATTTGTCACCACAGTGATGTGTTAGAACAGTTCTCTGACTCCTCATAATCCTAATCCCTAGCAACTCCTAATAAATTCTCCATCATTATAATTGTTAACTTTTCCAGAATATTTTATCAATGGAATTATAACTATAAAGTGTCTATGGTAGAAGCTACCAGCTGCTTCAAGGGAGAAAAATGAGGCAGTCTGCTTCTGTAAAGATTGACAGTCTTTGAAACCCTCTGGAGCAGTTCTACTTTAACTATAGGGTTGCTATGAGTTAGAACTAACTCAATGACATGGGCTTGGTTTTGTTTTGGTTTTTTGGTTTGTTAAACTTTTGAGCCTCCCTCTTTGCACAACATAATGTCTTTGAGAGTCATTCATTCATACTGTTGTACTAAAAATGGTTTGTTCCTTATTTTTTTGCTACTTTTAAATCACTGTTATATATTATTTAGCTGTCATTGGATGAACAGTGTAAACATGAGTTGCTGTTAGTGGCCCCCTAAATTTTAGTGGTTTTTTTTTTTTTTTTTTCATTTACAATAATGTGATTGTCATCTGTCAAATGTTGACAAAAGTCTCAACCATACCTAGAATTTTATTCTCTATTTCCAGAATTGTTTTAAAAGTGAAACTATAATTGTATGGTTACTTCTGTTGTTAATTGCCATTGAGTTGGTTTTGACTAACAGCAACCCTGAATAGGGTTTCTGAGGCTGTAAATTTACCTTCTTGTTGTTGTTAAGTGTTGTCAAGTAGATTCTGATTCATAGTGACCCTGTATAAGGGTTTCCAAGGAATAGCTGGTGAGCTTGAATTGCCGACCTTGCAGTTCAAACTTACCTTTTGTTCTTGTTAAGTGCCATCGAGTCGGTTCCGATCCATAGCGACCCTGAGCAGGGTTTCTGAGGCTGTAAATCTTTACGGGAGCAGAAAGCCTCATTCTCCCGTGGAGCAGCTGGTAGTTTTGAACTGCTGACCTTGCGGTTCGCAGCCCGATTCGTAACCACTACGCTTAGTGAGAGTAATATTTCAGATTGTGTTAAGAGCAATTGCTTTCGTATATCCCTGTTGTTGTTAAGTGCCATCGAGTTGGTTCTGACCCATAGCGATCCTGGATAAGGTTTCCGAGGAGTGGGTGGTGAGCTTAAACACCAACCTTGCAGTTCAAATGGCTTTGCAGTATGACGCATTAACCCACAGCGTCCCACCAGGGCTCCCTCATATCCCTAGCTACATACAATATAAAATAACTTTGTTGGTATTGTTAGAACAAAGATTAAAATATATTGCAGGGAAAATCATATTCTCTAAACAGAGGAACTACTATCAGTAACAAACCCTGACATGGATATATCTTATTTGGAAGATGTTCTGTTCCTTCTCTACTTACCTCAGTTAAATGTAGAATTTTTTGCTATATTTAATTTCTATTGAAGGCCTTTCATATTTAAATGTGATACACTTTTGTACCATTTAAAAGAATTTTATTGGTAAAGATTCATGTTGATTGTTATGAATGTTAAATATCTTTTTTGTGATACTTTTGTAAAAAAAAATCCCCTGCACAGAATTTTAGTTATAGAGGAGACTTTAGAGGATCTAGCTTTCCTATTATACAAATGAAGAAACTGATTTTGACACAGGTCACTAGTTAGCCACACTGGACAAGTCACTCTCTTTGAGCTTCTCTTAAATTCAATTGTACAGTTGTAGTGTGCCGTGGAGTCGGTTCCAACTCATAGCGACCCTGCATAGGGTTTCCGAGGCTGTAAATCTTTATAGGAGCACAAAGCCTCATCTTTCTCCCACGGAACAACTGGTATTTTTGAACTGCTGACCTTGGGATTAGTATCCCGATTTATAACCACTGGTCTTGATAATTTGTATGAATGTCTCCAGGACTAAAAGTTTATGGTTTTGTATTATTTAATTTTTTTCAAGCTCCTGAGAACAGAAAAAGAAGAAAAGCAAAAGAAAAGATTTTGTGTCTTTATCAAAGTTTATATTTGAGTACTCTGTTGGAGACAGAATTATTCTCAAGTAAATGGTGTTTTTCTTCCACTTCAAAACATAGCTTGGCCTAAGATTTTCTTTCTCAACTGACCTATGATTGGCTATTTCTAGGCATGGAAACCATATCCCTTTCAGAAGTAATTTGCTTGTGATTGAAGTATTTTTCATTTTGTTTTTTAGGATGACCTTTTTAGAGATAGTGATATAGATGGGAGGGAAAGGGCTAAAGAACAATTAAAAAATGGTTTTCTTTAGAAACTTGTATCTACTATCTTGGATGTTTAAAAAAAAATTACCATTAAAACTAAGCTTAAATTTTATGTGTGCCTTGTAAGATTGTTGTGATTTTTTGTAATGCACTTTGAGACTTTTGCATGGAGGGGTGGGATGTTGTTTTGTGAAAGTCATTGATGTTATTTATTATTATTTATTTCTGTTCATTACCACAGAGTGATCTCAAACATTCCTAGAAGAGTGTCTGTTTGCATGACGGGTCTAAACAATTTCAGGACAATGGAATCTTTTTTTATTTTAATGAAGGTATGGCAAAGTAAAGTAGAAAATTTATTCATTTAAAATATTCTTTTTGTTGTCTCTTTCTGGTATTAAAAAAAAAACAAAAAACCTGCAAGACATGTTTGCATTCAAGCTCTTTCTTTTCTTCATTTATGTATAAGATCATTAAGATCATGAAAATGTAGTTGTTACATTTTTGTAAGAAAAAAATCCTTGCTGTCTTTTTGGATTTAATTATCATGTCTTTACATAAATAATAAACTGGAAGTGGGAATAGAGAGCTTTGTGTTTTGTCTACAGCTGTGAATTTTAAAGGATGAAAGAAATTCTCCTGGCTATTCATTTAATTATTTCTCAACAATTACCTATTTACTGAGTCCCATACAATATGTACCTGTACTAGAAATTAGGTATTCAGACAAAAATACCTGCTTTCATGAAACATTCTAGTGGCACGAGACAAACTGTAAAGAAGTTAAATCAATGTATGTCACATTTTGTAAATGAGTCTGGAGAAACAAAGTGGGTATAGAATGCCAGGAAGAGGGGATGAGATGTAATATTTAATATGGTGGTCAAGCCACCTTTGAAAAGTCCCACTGTCAAATGTATAGATACAGTAACCAACACTTTACAGTTGTTGTTGTTGTTATTAAGTACCGTGGAGTCGGTTCGACTCATAGTGACCCTGCACAGGGTTTCCGAGGCTGTAAATCTTTACGGGAGCAGAACGCCTCATCTTTCTCTTGTGGAACTGCTGGTAGTTTCGAACTGCTGACCTTGAGGTTAGCAGCCCGATTCGTAACCACTACACTATACAGTAGGATGGGAAATTTTTGTTTCGTACCACTGTTGGGAAGTTTTCTGGCATGATAAATTTCATAAAGAGAAAAAAAGAAAAAGGACAATAATGCATGGAAAGAAAAGTGCCTGACGGGACTAATGAATCTGTTAAGAAAAGTACATTGATTTTTCCCTCTCACACAAGCAGTAATAATCATACTTTCTTTTTTCTTTTAAAAGTTAATAGTTTATAGTAGTTAACTTTTTCATTTGTCTTCTAATTTCTGATAGGTTTACTTTCACTGATACTTTTGGATGTCTAGTTTCACATTGGGTAGTGCCTTAAGTTTTATTACAATTCACAGCCATTTTCTTAACTTGTGTTCTTCAGTTTCTTAGTAACAAAGAGTACATAGTACCTGCCCTTTAGGGTTATTTTGTGAGATAAATGATAAATAAAATTAAGATCATAAAAATGAAATATACACGACCTGGCACACTGTGATTCTCATGTTAATTTCCTTATCTCTAGTCCCAGTTTTTAAATCTATATTTTCAAAAGAAAATAATCCCTACCTTACAGATTGTTTTGAAAATTTCTCCAACAAATATTGAGATAATGTATGCCAGAATTTGTGCTTGAATATTGATCCCTGCTAGCTTTTGGAGAGGAGTTCAGAGTTTTCTCTTTAATAAGACAAGGTAGATGGAAGTTCTTTTTAAATAATTATTTTCATTGGGAGATTTTTCAAGTATCTTTGTTGAGGGAAAGGTGCCCTGGTGGAATAATGGGCTAAGCAATGGACTGCTAATCACAAGGTCGACTTAATCCCACTAGCCGCTCAGTGGGAGGGGAGAAAGTCCATGAAAATTTAGTCTTGGAAATCTTAAGCAGTTCTGTTTTACAGCATCTCTCATGAGTCGAAATTGACTTGGTGGCAATGGGGTTGGGATGTAGAGGGATGGAGGGAACGGGTAAACACATATAATTGGAGGAGGGTAGACTCAAGGGCGCTTAACAACACAGGTGTACCAGAATCTAATCAGTGGATGCTGCATTTCTCATGCGAGAAGTCAAGACATTTGCTTCTAGTGCCAATCAGGTTGACTAAAGGGACTTATGAATGTGCAGGGAGTTTCCCAATAGCCCTTTCGGCTTACCGAAGCCTTCTAACAGCACTTCCCACAGTGCTCTAGGTCTCCCTCGACACGTGATGAGGGTGGATAGGCTCCTCTAGAGGAAAGCTAAAGCGTAATTTAGGTGACGAACAGGGGTTCTTCCACCGTCCCAACTCCGGGCCTACTGTGATCTCGCGTGAGGTAGGGAGTATCTTCTCGCGAGAACTAAGTCGGGATCCCTCCAGGTCCGCCTCCGTGGTGAGAAAGAGGCGGAGGTGGAGGGAGGAGGAGGAGGCCCCGTCGCGGCCTTAGCCGCCGCCAACGGGGCTGTCCCTGTAGCTCCCGATGGAGTTTGAGGTCGTGGAACCGCCGCCGAGCTCTGCCCCGGCGAGACGAGGCGCCTCCGTCGCCGAGCCGCGCCGTCGCGGGGCTCCCTGGAGCGGCCCTTAGCGACTCCACCCGGGCCCCCTCAGGTAGGGCGGGGGCGGGCACGGTGCGGCTCGGGCCCTAGCCCGGGTCTCCGGTCCCCAGCCCCTGGCGGTCGGGAGGGAGAGTGGCCTCCGTTCGGCGCCCTGTGTTCTCCTGGCGCCCCTCATGGTCGGGCACTGAGGGCCGCACCTGACACCCGACGCTCCGAAAGCCCGGAGCTTGAGGAGGCCCCTCGCCCTGGCAGGGCAATTTCGATGGCGGAGCTGGCAGCGCAAATGGCCACCTCCCTTCGACACTGACCGAGAGGGACGCTTCTGACCCCTAAGGACCCCACCCAGGCAAAGGCCAGGTTCCCCTTTTCCATTCCTACACCAGTTAATAAGAGGGGCGTTTGGAGAAGGTCTTCAAAACCTAATGCTCTCCTCTTTCGGTTTTCTGCCCTGGGGCTTCCGGAGACCCCACCGCTGGGATGGTGGAGGTGATCTAAGTATAAATAGGGACCCGGGGCAAACAATGCCCGGGGAGGGCTTAACCTCGGAGAAGGGAGATCACCGGACCGGAGTGCTTGCACTGAAGATGTAACTAGAAGCAACGGTATGGACCCGAGGCAGGGCATTCTGCTGTGGCTTTCTTTGCCTCTTTCATTTTTCCTTCTTGGGGAACCCTCTTGAGGAGGATTCTTCCACCATCTTAGAAGAATGGTAGAAAGCATCTTTGTTTCTTAGAGAAGCAGCTCCACTTTTCTCCGGCCTTAGCTTTCAGGAAGGGAAATGATGAGGGTAGCTTATATTTTCATCTTTCAGTTCACAGAAGATGAGCTTATGATACCCGCAGATCGAGCCTTGACACATAAATAATCTCAAGTAATCACTGACATAGGTAGGTCTAATCCAGTGATTTCCAACCTGGTTTTTGTTTTTCACTACCTAGGGTTCCTTCTTTTAATTCCTACGTTCCCCCTGACCCCCCTGTGATTGCAACGACTTTGTATCCCAAATAAAATGTGTATTTTAAATATTACCTACCCCCCCCCATCACCCCCGTTTGTGCCTTAGTCAAACTTGTAAATTCCAATAGGAACTTTTAACTTGAGAGGGCTAATGTTATTGCGCCAAATTGCTATAATTTCACACAAAAGCAAAGAAACATGCTTTTTGTTAGCCTGTGTAGCCTCATTATGATTAAATATAGAGTACAAATTTAGTTAAGACTTTTTGAACCATTGAGAACAACTTTTTTTTTTTTTTTTTAATCTTTTGTCTTTAAAACTACACCACTGTTCTCAATTCACATCCTTTCCTTATTTCGTTTATTTCCACGTTCAATACTTGAAGAGAGTGATACTTGTTAAGGACCATTTTTCAGTATTGCCATCTTTGTTGATTTGAGGGATTCATGTTGTCTAAATTTTAAAGTTTGGAAGATTGCTGGAACAAAATGTTTGGCCTATGTTCCAGTCATGTTTGGAAAAAAAGTAGATGCTGCAATTCAAAGTCATTTATACTTTGAGAATTTAATTGTAGTCGTGTTCATGAATGACACCTTTTAGCTACTCTTGATCTGTTATTACAATTGTATTAAGCTGACATGTAAGAAGACTTATGTGTCATTTGTTCATATGTTTTCATTAATCCACTTTCTGCTTTTGTAATTTGCTGTGTCTTTCAGTTTGAAAAAAGTCAACGAAAGTTTCCTTTCTGGCAAAAGCAATTTTTTTCTTAATTCAGGTTTTTGCATTCATAACCAGAACTTATACATTGTATGCAATACCTAAGAATGCTAAATAGCCAAAACCAAAACCATTGTCATCAAGTCATTCCAACTCATAATGACTAACAAGGTCATATAATAAGTCTGCTTTATATGTTTCACTTTCTGGAAATGGAAAAAGGAAGCATGTGATAAAATAAGGTTAGCTGAAATTTTTTTAAATGTTGATGTTTTGCATCCAGTTTCATGAGTGTTATATGTTGCATCTTTATAGGCAAGGGTTTTCTAGTTCTGTGAAAGACTTTTTAAATTTGACTTTCACTTAAAATTCTTAATAAAAGTGATTTTGAGTTGTCAGTAATCTTAAGTGCTCTAGAGCTGCACTATCCAATACTAGCCACTAGCCACATGAGGCAACTGAACACTTGAAGCATGTTTAGTCTGTGTGATGTAAGTCTAAAATACACACCTGTCTTGGAAGACTTAGTGTCAAAGGGTTGAAAAGATCTCATTTATAATTTTATATACTGATTACATGTTGGAAAGATACTTGGGATAAATGGGGTTAAATAAAATATATTCTTAAAATCAACTGCACTTGTTTGTTTTTTAATGTGAGTACAAGCAAATTTTAAATTATATATGTGGCTCACAGTATATTTCTGTTAGATACTGCTGTACTAGAGGATCACAACTCTTCCCAGAAATAAATTATCTGCATAAAAGTAGTTAAGTGCTGCTAGTCGATTCCGACTTATAGCGACAGTATAGGGTTTCTGAGGCTGTACATCTTTGCAGGAGTAGAAAGTCTCATCTTTCTTCAATGCAGCAGCTGGTTGGTTTGCACCTCCGACCTTGTGGTTGGCAGTCCAGTTGTACAGAGCTACCAGGCTCCCCTGAATAAAAGTAGACACATGAAAACAAAAACTTCCTGACAGAGTATCCTGTTAAAAATCAGAATTATCAAAAGGTGAAGAACATTTTGATAATAGAAGACTAAAGATATCCAGTGGCCATTATTTGATAGGCAGAGTTAATAATCAGATACTATCTTGAAAATAAGTACTGTTCAAGTTTAGTTTTCACTAAAGAAGCAAAATTTTGTTGGTTATATTAGTTAAAATAGAAAGTTATCCCATTATTGTCATATCTGCATTAGAAGGTTTTAAAAATTGAATCTCATACTTAAATATTTAAAAACTGAGTTAAACACTGCTGTGGAATTAAGATGTAAACTTGAGTCATATATCTTCCCTAACTAGAGTGAAGTCACAAATAATAGAGTCTTTACAATTGTGATTCAGCTCTTTTTTTTTTTTTTTTTCTCTGATTCTCTGGATGCTGTTTGTACCTTTGAGTTTTAGAGCTTACAATTTCTTTTTACTTTTTTGGTTAGAACCTAAATTCCTCTGAAAGCAAAAATCCATTGCCATCAAGTCAATTTCAATTGATAGTGACCCTGTAGGACATGGTAGAACTACCCCATAGAGTTTCTGGGCCTATAATCTTTATGGGAAGGAGCCCTGTAGCTTAGTGGGTTACAAATTAGGCTAATAACTGCAAGGTCAGCAGTTTGAATTTGCCAGCCACTCTGACAGCGAAAGATGAGGCTTTCTATTCATAAAGATTTACAACTTCAGAAACCCTGTAGAGGGGCACTGTGAGTTGGAAATCACTCCACAGCACACAGACAGCCACCACCACCAATTTTCACATGAGCAGACTGCTACATCTTTCTCCTATGAAGTGGCTGGTGGTTTCCATTACCAATCTTCCAAGTGTTTTACCAAGAAGCCAAGCACTTAACCACTGCATCATTGGGGATCCTAAATTCTACCAGTACTTCGAAATAGTTTGAAGCCCTGAATTCTACCTTCAAAGTCAAATTTGTATGTAAGTTGGTAAAGTTAGGTACAGTTCATACCTAACATCAGTTTGTCTAGTTTTGTCTTAAGTTTATAGTACATAGTTGCCTTTCTATGCATAAAGAAATACTCCCAGATACACTAAAACATCTTTAGCATAATAATACAGTGATAATAATTATAACATTTTGATGCATGTCACAAAGTGTTGTGCCTGTTTGTATTGTAAACAATTGTATATAACTTAAGTTTTCAATAAAAACTTTACAGGGATTGGCTCAACTACAGGTTGTACGTAAGTCAGATGTTCATAACCTGGGGACTGCCTGTATAGTCCATTTCAGTCACTTAAAATCTTTACATGGATGAACTAGAATAAAAATTGATCATTTAAATTAACATACCTGAGCCCTAAGCTCAGTACAGTGTTTGCATTTATATACCTAAGCTCAGTTCAGTATTCACATTTTTATAAACACACATAATTATAAAATTATTTTTTCCTTATTTAAAGTGAAAAAGGCATAAACTTTATTCTGGCATTTAAAAATCAGGTGCCATAGTCTTGAATTGACAGTATAGTGAACTAATAGAAAATGAAAGTGCTTATGCGTATACAATTTGCTCTTAATAATGCTATTTATAATTTGTATCGTAAGATGTCTTTTGTTTTTTCTCTTTTAGCATTCATATATCTTATTCTTCCCATTTTATGATTTAGTATTCATAGCAAGGAACTTGTAGCCTGAACATTTTCTTGAGTTAAAAATTGTTAGGGCCTATTTCTAGTTGAGTGTTTCTTTTATTTTCTATCCTTAAATTTTAGCAACTGAAACTAATTAATAGTTTAAATGTTTTTATTAAATAGTTCTTTAAAGTATCAAGAGTTGTGGGCTTTTTGTCTTGGGAGTATCTTTTAAGATGATTACTTCATTATTAACTATAAAGGTTTTTATTAGCAATTTAGGTTTCCATAGACTCAAAGACTCTGGTAACATAGTGGTTATGAATTGGACTGCGAACCGCAAGGTCAGCAGTTCAAACCTCCCAGCTGTTCCATGGGAGAAAGCGTTCTGCTCCTGCAAAGATTTATAGCCTCGTATACCCTGTACAAGGTAGCTGTGAGTCGGCACACAGCCACCACCAGACTCAGAGAAATTTTACTATAAAATGTATTACTACAAATCTAAAAGGTTTGCAACTTGATAATGATCTTCTTAGCTGTTCATGGTTCATTTAGATGCTTCTCTTTGTTAATAAATTAGAATAATTGGCTTTTAATCATTTTTGATAATTAAAAATGTTTTCTAGTAAAAATTTACAAGGCGCCTTTTTTATAGAAATAAGTGTTCAATTTTGGCATCACAAACTAAGCATTTTTTGGAGTCCTGGTGTGATGCTGTAGAATAAGCACTGGAATGCTTACTACAAGGTCAGAGGTTCAAGCCTACCAGCTAGCTACTCCTCGGAAACCCTACGCTGGGTCACTATGAGTTGGAACCTACTCAGCAGCACTTAACAAAAACAACCACAGCTAAGCATTTTAGTGGACTTTATAAGTTTCTTCCATGCGTTAGGAAAACGTTGCCCTTTTGATTTTGAATGATTGACCATTCCATGGTGAGCATATCTTACTGATGTCCTCATCCACCCCCTCCACCCCACCTCCCTTTATAAGCCTATATGGAATCCTGATTAAGATAAGTACTGGACTGCTAACCACAAGGTCAGTGGTTCAAATCCACCAGCCACTTTTAGGAAACTCGGGCAGTGTTTCATTCTTCTGTGCGTAGGGTCGCTATGAGTCAGTACCCACACGATGGCACCTAATAACAACAACAACATACAGGGTTTCTGTGAGTCAGAAATGACTGGATAGCATGTAACAACAACATAAACCTGTCTGCTGATTGACTGAATAAACTTTTTAAAAAAAACTTTTTATTGTGAATTGAGTGAAGGTTTACAGACAATATCATCGATTTTTTGCATACAACAAATTGCATACCTTGCCTCACCTCAGTGATTGCAATCTTCTCCATGTAACAGCAGTTATGTCACTTGTTCCCTGTAGTTCTGTTTCAACTCCAGCCCCTTTTCCCATCCCTTCTCAACTTTTTCCTTAGGTAAAGGCTGCCCTTTTGATTTTGAATATTGGCTATTCGATGGTGAGCATATCTTACTAGTGGTGGTGTCCCCTATAATATATGCATATTTACTTCTTGGCTAAAAATTGGACCATGAAGGTAAGTTCCTTTCCATGATAGCAAACCTTTCATTTTAGAAAAAAATGTTTTTTCAAAAAGAAGAAAAGATATTTGCTCACAGGCATTTTTCTATGTTATTTTTCCAGTTTTCAATCGTGTATATATATTTTCCCAAACTATGTTCATAGTATAAATAAAAATTTGTTTTTTATCTGCTTAGAATTATGAGTATTTTATTCTCCAGTAGATTCCTCATTGGATCTGATACTTCTTACTAATATATAGGTTTCTCTAGCTTTTGGAAAGTAGAGCATTCATCTGAAATCTTTCATAAATCAGAGTGCTAAGAAGCAGTTACCATTAATATGTATGGGAATTTTTTTTGAGTGTTTCTAGACCAAAAAAATAACATACCAAATAACACATAAAATCTAAAATAACACTAACATAGTGTTCAAAGCTGTGGTGTCTTGATGCTGATATGTTGAGTGTAGTTCCCAGGGAAGATGCTTAGTGACCCTACTCTTGATGTTTGTCAGAGTGCACACTGCCTCTTTCATGAGGAGCTGCAAAAAAATCGCTAAACACTTTTTTTTTTTTTTTACAAGCCCCGTTCACCCCACCCTCACCCCCACCTCACCCCACTCCGCCATAAAAGTGAAAATCCTCTTGGAATTTCTTTCAGTTAATAGAAAAAGGTACTAATGTAGGTCTTTTGTAGAAGTGAAGTGGTGTAAAGAATATCTTGAAAATTTTAATAATCTGGTAGATTTCTTTGAGTTTGCTTTGGCACTGTATCTTGTGGTTAGCATCATTCTTTTATTGACTTTTTTTCACTTTAGCATGTCAAAACAAACTGTTCTATCATTTCAATCTTACACATTTATTAATACCTCAGTTAGCTTCCTGTTAAGTTCTTCCTAGAGATTTTCTTTATGACGCTAACTTGGTCATTCAGATGATATTCTTCACATCTAATAGTTTCCAAAGTTCGCTAACTCTTAGACTATATTTATTTATTACTATCATTTATTTTGACTGTGAGAACAAATTTTTCTATTTTGTGGATTGAATGAAGGTTTACAGAACCTATCAGTTTTACATTCAACAAATTATACACTTCAGTTCATTTGATTATTACAATCCCCTCAGTTAACTGTATTTACCTCTATTCCCTTTAACTCTTGGACTCTTCCGTGTTCCCTCCCCTACCTTCATCTTCTGCCAAGTTCCCTTTTGTATATTTCCTTTCCTGTCACCCAAGTTACTCTCTAGCCAATGTATAATTCTCCCTTTTTTCTCACCTCTGTCAACCATCCTAGAATTTTTTTTTTAGCATAAAAATCTTTTCTTGACTTTTTATGATAGTGGTCTCATACAATCTTTAGCCTTTTGTGATTGACTAATTTCACCTGACCTAATGTCCTCCAGCTGCTCTTTTGAAACCCTGTACAGGGTCGCTATGGGTCAGAACTGACTCGATGGCACTTAACAACAACAGTGTTCTCCAGTTTTCATAGATTCATTGTAGTATTCTAGTGTGTGTTAAGGTTTGTTTAACATTATTCTGTTGCTGGGCATTTAGGCTATTTCCATTTTTTTGCTATTGTGAATAGTGCTGCAGTGAGCATATTGTTAAGTGCAGTTTAGTCATAGTGACACTGTATCAGGTTTCTAAGAAGCAGTTGATGGATTTGAACCACCAATATAATGGTTAGTAATCTAGTGCTTATCCAACAGCGCCACATAAGGATTCCTGCAATGACCATAGGTGTGCATATATCTAACTGTATTATGACTCTTTATTTCTTGAGGATATATACCAAGTAGAGAGATTGCTGGGTCATACAGTATTTCTATTTCCAACCTTTTCAAGAAAGCTTAGGCTATATTTTAATGTCTTTGGGATAGTAGTTATCCAAGGGGGATATTTTTAAAAGTAAAACAAAACCTAGCAATACAAAGTAGTTTGTGTTCCTAAAACTGATGATTGTGGTGGTGGTAAGTTCTGTCGAGTCAGTTATGACTCATAGTGACCTTGTATAGGGTTTCCAAGGATCGGCTGGTGGATTTGAACTGACAGCTTTGTGGTTAGTAGTCCATTGCTTATCCTCTAGTTGCCACACCAGGGATCTAAAAATGGAATATGAGAAGTCAGTCTGCTTGTTTGATGTCATTAAAAGAAGTATGTGAAAGCTTTGATAACTGTTATATGAGCAACCAATATAAATAGCAGGTTTAATTAGAACATTGTTATGCTGTTGATTCTGGACAAATTCTCAAAAAATTAATTCAACAGATTTAAAAATGCAAAGCATATAAAGTTATTCAGATTTTAGGTTCTGAAACATTTAACAATGAAATGTTAATGATGAGTAGGTGGTTAATTCTTACTTTTATCCATTTCTAGCTTACAAAACACTACACAGCAAAATAATGATCTGCTAGACTGCTAACTGGAGCATCCAGCTTCCACAATGCCTGTGCAGGCAGCTCAATGGACAGAATTTCTGTCCTGTCCAATCTGCTATAATGAATTTGATGAGAATGTGCACAAACCCATCAGTTTAGGTTGTTCACACACTGTTTGCAAGACCTGTTTGAACAAACTTCACCGAAAAGCTTGTCCTTTTGACCAGACAGCCATCAACACAGACATTGATGTGCTTCCTGTCAATTTTGCACTTCTCCAGTTAGTTGGAGCCCAGGTAAGCTTCCAAGATTTTTCTAAACTGCTATGTATAATAATTACTGAATTTTATCTTTAAAGGGTACATAATATAGTGTTATTTAAAGAATATAAAATAAATATTATCAATGTATTTTACTTTATTTTTATGACTATATACTGAAAGATTGTCCTGTATAATCTTTATACAAAACCATAAATTCCTGTTACTTTTATTTTGTGTGTATGTGTGTTCAATATTCAGTCAAAATTTATGTTAAGTGATTTTGATAAAGACATTTTTATACAAATCATTGCATTTATAATATTTTTTCATTACTTGCTATGGGAAGAAATGTATCAAAGTTTTGACCAGTTTCAACCAAATGAAACCCTTATTTGAAGTTTTTTGTTACTCTTTTTAACTTTACTTGACTTTTAAATAACACTGTAAATGAGAAGCTCTATTAGCATCTATATATAGTTAACCATTTACTAGAGTATCGGTTATAAGTGCTACATAATTTTTTATGCTCATGTACTGTAAAATGAGTATTACATGTTTATAATCATTTTAATAAATCATAGAAGGGCCTTAGATTTTATTACTTGAATTTAATTAAGACCTACTTTGTTCATCTATTATTACTAATTCTAACCGTATTCAGGTACCATTATCCCCATTTCCAGGTCAGAAGTAACATGAAATTCTTTACTTCATGTACTACATAATAAGTAAGAAAGTAAGAATTTTTCTGATTAATTACTTACTCTAAAATTCAGTGAACCAAAATGTTTCATTCCATTGGTGTTTTGGTATTTGAAGTTTTCCTTTTAAAATACAAAATTTATTATAACAAAGGTAGCTTCTCATATCAGGGTTGTTGTTGTTAAGTGTTGTTGAGTCGGTTCTAACTCATAGCGACCATATATAGGATTTAGAAGGAGCAACTGGTAAGTTTGAACTGCCAGTTCACAGTCCAGTACTGATCTTACAGCACCACATCAGGAGTCCATAATAATATTGTTGTTAAGTGCCATTGAGTCAATTCCAACCCATAGCGACCCTGTATAGGATTTCCGAGGAGCAGCTGGTGAGCTTGAACTGCCAACCTTGCAATTCAAACGGCTTTGCAGTCTGGCGCATTAGCCCACAGTACCATACCAGGACTCCCATTTATGTAACATTTTCTATAGTTCTGGTATGACACTGTAGGAAAAGCACTTTACTGCAAGGTTGGTGGTTCAAACCCACCAGCCACTCCTAAAAAATATACAGGGTTGCTGTGAATATGAGCTGAATCAAAGACATTTATCAACAGTAGCAATAGGTCAGATAAGGAGCTCTGGTGGCACTTTTAGGATGAAAAACTAACCACAAGGTGGGTGATTCAAAGCCACCAACTACTCCTTAGGAAAAAAATGAGGCTATCTGCTCCTACCTGGAGCCCTGGTGTGGCACTGTGAATAAATTCAGTGGACTGTGGGTCAGAACTGACTCGACAGCACTTAACAACAACAGTCTGTTCCCGCCAGCTGCTCCTTGAAACCCTATGCAGGGTCTCTCTTAGTCAGAACTAACTTGATGACACTTAGCTTTACAGTCTCTGAAATCTAATATAGGGCTGTTATGAATCAGAATTGACTCGCTGGCAGTGAGTTTGACATTGGAATTTTATAGGTCAAGTAAAGAGCCCTTGTGGCTCAGTGGTTTTTGTGCTTGGCTACTTATTAAAAGGTCAGTGATGTGAACCCACCAGCTGCTCTGGGGAAGAAATATTTCACAGTCAGCTTCCAAAAAGATTGCAACCTTAGAAACCCTATGGGACATTTCTATGCTGTCTTATAAGATTACTATCAGTCATAATCGACTCGATAGCAGTTCGGTTTAGTTTTATAGGACATATTGTGTCATGCCCTTTGTTAATGTTACTATAATTGGTCCTTAAAATATTCTGTAGGCCTGTACAGTGTGGTTTCTAGTACCTCTTAGACCTCATCCCCTTCAACTGCTGTCCTTACTCATTTTTCTTAAGCCACACTGGTCTCCTAGCCAGTATCCCTCCTCAGTACTCATAGCGACCTTGCATAGGGTTTCTGAGGCTGTAAATCTTTACGGGAGCAAAAAGCCTCAGCCTCATCTTTCTCTTGCAGTTTGTAGTTTCAAACTACTGACTTTGAGGTTAGCAGCCTGACTCATAACCACTATGCTAATAGTTATGTGGTGGCTGTTACTCTCTGCTTAGAATTCTCATTATTCCCCCACCACTTTCAAGCCATTCATATGCTCTCAGGGAGGCCTATCCTGACCACTCCAGTTAAAATGCTAAAACCCCATTTTAGCATTCCCACTTCCCCTTATCCTTACTGTATAATTTTTTTACTGATTATTTTTGAACATACTATGTAAATTATTATTATGTTTTTTATTGGCTACTTCCCCTCCTCTCCACTAGAATATAATTTGTATAAGGGCAAGAATGTTTGGCTGTTACTCACTGATATTCAAGTACCTAAAACTGCCTGAAACGTGGCAAACACTCCAGGAATATTTGTTGAATTTAATTTTTATAATAGTTCTGTGAAATAAAGGGTTTCACCTTCATTGTGGAGCAGGTCAGCACTTTACTCAAGATCCTTGAAGTGGCAGAGCTCTGCAATATCTGAGTTTTGACCTTTGATTCAGTACACTGAGGGACAGACCATAAGCAGTATATACAATAAGTAAGTCCTGGTTTGATGCTGTAGGATAAGCATTGGACTATTTACTAACTGTGAGCTCAGTAGTTCAAACTACCAATTGCTCTTCAGAAATGCTGTACAGAGTTGCTATGAGTCAGAACCAACTTGATGACACTTAACAACAATAATATAGTAAGAAGGTATTAAATACTATGAGGGAAAAAAAATCTGTTGCCTTTTCCCCCTTACTTTTATTTTCAAATACTTAGAAAAGTTACAAAAATAGCTTACAAAGAACCTGTGTAACTTTTCCCTGCTTCCCCAAATGCGAGTATTTTTTATAATCATAGCAGAGTTATCTAGCCCAAGAAATGAGCATTGATGCAATACTGTGAACTGCTTGCATTTCCTTCACTTCATTAATCTACCCAGTTCCAGCTCTTAGGTATAATATTCTTGATTCTTGGGAAATAGGTTAAGTATCTGGTTTTAATTTTACTTAAATGGTTTTGGTCCATTATCTCTCCATATTATAATTTTGTACTCATCAAGGTCACCATCAGGTTTATAAATAATAGCTGTGTGGTCTAGAGAATGTATTTTTATAATTTTTCTCTTTTCTTTTTTTTTAGGTACCAGATCACCAATCAATAAAGTTGAGTAGTAACCTAGGTGAGAACAAACACTATGAAGTTGCAAAGAAATGTGTTGAAGATTTGGCACTCTACTTAAAACCACTAAGTGGAGGAAAAGGTAAATTCAGATTAATGGATTTTGTCTACTTTGTTTATGCCCAGTTAATGATGCAAGTGTGAAAAATGAGTCTGCTGAAGAGAGATCTTGGAAAATGTTTTTGAATGAAAGCAATCTATTATACTGCTTTCTGAAAACAATGTTACTAATTTAAGATTCTTCAGGTACCACATGTTGAGAGTTATATAATGTTTATGTTCATTGATTAAATTCACAGTATTATAGCAGAATATATAATTTGATAAGTCCTATTAAAATAACTTCTTGTGTACTGAATATTAGTTCAATCCTTCATTAAAACCTTATGGAATATTTAATGGTTATATAGTCACTGCCTGCCTTCATGGGGCCCAAAATATTCTGGGGAGATGGGCATATGACTATAGTGAAGTATTTTGAAGTGCTGTGATAGAAGCCAAATATTTTTCCTTTATCAGTGCATACCCAGTGATTAACACTGTTGTTGGTGGTGGTAAGTGCCGTCAAGATGGTTCCAACTCACAGCAACCCTGAATAGGATTTCTGAGGCTTTAAATCTCATCTTTCTCCTTAGGAGTGACTGGAGGGCTTGAATCACAGATCTTGTGGTTCGCAGTTGGGTGTTTATTATATGGAGCCACGAGGCTCCCTAATACACATATTTATTTAGGTGTAATAAATATTTGTTGAGTGAATTAGAAATCAAGTATTTATTTTGTACTTGTGTATTTTGCACTGTTGTATATTTGTGGTAATGTTTTCCTTGAGAAACTTACCTTGACCACTGCATTCATTCACTTAATTCTTCAGAGCATGGCTAAGTGCCAGCCACTAAAAAAGAAGGGAGAAACAGTAAATAATAAATTTTTTAAAAGACAATGTAGTATATTGTAAACGGTAATTGTTACAGAAAAACACAATATGATTAGAAGGATCATAAATGTAAGTGGGGTAAAAGAAGGATGCCTTTGCAATTTTAAATAGAGTGTATATATCAAGATGATGATTTTTGAGCAGTGACTTGAAAGAGATGAGGTACTTCGCCTTTTAGGTTCCTGGGAAAAGAGTGTTTTAGGCAGAAGGGAATATGTAATGCAAAGTCCTCTATGCATGCCTAGTTTCTTCAAGGAAAAGGAGTAGAGTTTTCCTGGACTAGTGTAATTGAAGGGAAGACTAGTATAAGATAAAATGAAAAGGAAATAATGAGACCATAATAATGTATGGCTTTATAAACCACTTTTAAAGACTTGTGCTTTTATTTTGAGTGAAATTGAGGAATCATTGCAGGGTTTTGAGCAGAGGAGTGAAAAGATCTAACTGATGTTTTTAAAGACGACTGGCTATGCTGGGAGGAATTCAGGGTAGAAACATGGTGGTATATTAATAAAAATTTGGGACAATGTTAATACCAGTGGAGGTTTTGAGTAGAATGGTCATTGTGGATATATTTTGAAGACAAGAGGATTTCTTAAATGATTAGATGTGTGGGGTTTGCCAGCAAGAGCAAAGTTAAGGATGAGTGACACTGCACTTGAAAAGAGGGGTTGCCATCTACTGAGACAGAGTATTGCAGGTAGATCACATTTAGGTAGGAATGTAGAGAATTCGGTTTTGGTCACATTAAATTTAAGATGTTAAATTTTTATTGGGAACATGGTAGCTTTATAGGTTAAGCAATAGACTGTGAACCACAAGGTTGGCAGTTTGAGTCTTTCTGTTCCCGTAAAGATTCACAGCGTTGGAAACACTATACAGGATCGTTGTGAATCAGAACTGACTCAGCATCACTTAACCATCATTATTTGGATGCTATCAAGTGTTCAATTAGGATATCTGAGTTGTTTGTTAAGGGATGAGGGTTAGGGGTTGTAACTTTGGGAGTCATTGGCATGTAGAGGTATTTAAGGGGATAAGAATAGTTGAGATTAAGTTGTGAATGTAGATTGAGAAGAGAACAAGGATGGGGTCCTGGAGACCCTAAAATACTAAGAGACCAGGGAGAAAAGGTGAAATCAGAAAGAAGACTGGAAATAAGAGGGGGAGAAGTCAAGAAAATGGGTGTTCTGGAAACCAGCTAAAGTGTATGCAGGAATAAGGAGGATCAACTGTATTGAATCTGTTAAAAGGTCAAGTAAGGTAAAGATTTTTTAAATGATCATTAATTTTAACAAACTGTAGAGGTAATCATCTTGACAAGTGACAGTAACAAGACAATCTGATTGGAATAGATTTTAGAGATTATGAAGCAAGGAATTGGAGACATTGAGTATTCACAACCCTTCTCTTGAGGATTTGCTACAAAAGGATTTGCTTTCTGCGCCAGCAAAAATTTACAGCCTCGGAAACCCTACACAGGGTCACTATAAGAGAAGAAACAGAGCAGGGCTGTCAGGGAAAGAGAGATAATTAGTATTTTTTTATTTTTTAGATGGATGCTTGTTCTTTCTTGCTGATGATGCAGTTGATCCAAGTAGAGGGGAAATAGATGATGTGGAACAGGGATGATAATGTGGAAGAATTGCTAGATAAAAATCTTTGAATGTTGTTAGGTGCCATCGAATTGGTACCTCTCATAGGAACCTTATGCACAATGGAATGAAACATAGCTGGGTCCTGTGCCAATTTGGCAATCATTACTATGCTTAAGCCCATTGTTGCTGCCACTGTGCCAATCCATTCTGGCTGTACTGCGAACATAGATTTTGTTTGTTGTTCTGGCAGTCCATGGTACTTTTAATATTCTTCTCCAGCACCATAACTGAAATGCATCAATTCTTCTACATTCTTCCTTATTCATTGTCCAACTTTCACATGCATATAAGGTTATTAAAATACCAATTGTTTGGGTCAGGCGCACCTTAGTCCTCAACTTTGCTCTTGGATACTTTAAAGAGGTCTTGTACAGCAGATTTGCCTAATGCAATATATCATTTTATTTGTGACTGCTGCTTCCATGAGTGTTGATGGTTGATCCAAGCAAAATGAAGTCTTCTGACAATTTCAGTCTTTACTCGATTTATCTTTATTTATTGGTGTAGTGAGGATTTTTGTTTTTGTTCCGTTGAGCTGCAACCCATACCGAAGGCTGTGGTTTGTAATCTTCATCAGTAAGTATTTTAAGTCGTCTTCGCTTTCGGCATGCAAGGTTGTATCATCTGCATATTTCAGGTTGTTCATGAATCTTCCTCCAATCCTGATGCTTCGGTCTTCTTCATATTATCCAGCTTCTTAGATTATTTGCTTAGCCTACAGATTGAGTAAATATGAAAGGATGCCTGGTGCACATCTTTCCTGAATTTAAAACATTTATTGTTCTCATTTTCTGAACAAATGACTGCATCTTGGACTGTGTACAGGTTCTTCATGAGCTGTATTAAGTGTTCCGGAATACTCATTTTCCATAATGTTGTCCGTAGCTTGTCATGATCCACAGTTTAAAGCCTTTTGTAGTCAATAAAGCACATACAAACTTTTTGGCATTCTCGGCTTTCAGGCAAGATCCGTCTGAACCCGGCCTGAGTCTCTGGCTGTTTTCTGTCAGTGTGTTGCTGCAGCTGTTTCTGAATTATCTTTAGCAAAGTTTTACTTGAATGGAATATTAATAATATTGTCCAATGATTTCTTCCTTCTGTTGGATCGCCTTCTTTGGAATGGACATAAATTTGGTTTTCTTGCAATCAGTCGGCCAGGTATTTGTCTTCCAGATTTCTTGTCATAAATGAGTGAGTGCCTGCAGTGCTGCATCAGTTTGTTGAAAGATGTCTGTCAGTTTGTATTCTATCAATTCTCAGGGCCTTAGCCTTGTTTTTTGCGAATGCCTTTAATATGCCTTGGACTTAATTTGTTCAGTACCATTGGCTCCTAATCATATGCTATCTCTTGAAATAGTTGAACATTGACCATTTCTATTTGCTACAGTGACTTTGTGTATTCCTTCCATTGGCTTTTGCTGCTGTATGTATCATTTAATATTTTGTCCATAGGATCCTTCAATATTGCAAGTTCAGGATTGAATTTTTTCTTCAGTTCCCCCAGCTTGAGAAATGCTTACCGTATTCTTCCTTTTGGTTTTGTAACTCCAAGTCTTTATTTGCATATTTCATTATAATATTTGACTTTTGTTTTCTCTAGCTGCCATTTGAAATTTTCTGTTCATCTCCTTTATTTACTTCCTCACTTCTTCCATTGTCTTTAGCATCTTTACGCTGCATTTAGAGTCTCTCTTAACATCCATTTTTGTCTTTGCCTTCTTCCTTGTCTTCTTTTTTTTAAAAAGTTCTTGTGAATTGAGTGAAAGTTTGCAGGACAGATTATCAGTTTTGCATTCAACAAATCATATTTTGTTTCATTGCAATGCTTACAATCCCTTCCATGTACCATCAATCAGTTAACAATATTTGCCTCTCTTCCCTGTCCCCCATTTTTTTTTTTTTTTTATGTATATACACACAAAACAGAAAATATATATTCATTTAATGTCCAAAGGACATGTTTTGCAAGCGAGCCTCCTACCTGCAGATACACAGCCTTTCACAGTCCATGGGCCTTGGAGTTCTCAACTGCACTTTCTCTCCATGTCATTATGTCTGTCACCATCTCTGCTGTTGCCAGGTTAGAATCCCATGAGCCACTCATGCTCTTCCCTCTTTATGATCCTAGGATCCTCTGTTACTGTAATGAAAGATTAACTACTCTTCCTCCTCTTGGTAAGGAGCTCTGGTAGCGAACTGCAAGGTCAGCAGTTTGAAACTACCAGCTGTTCCGCAGGAGAAAGATGAGGCATTCTGCTCCTGTAAAGATTTACAGACTAGGAGACCCAGTACAGGGTCGCTATGAGTCGGAACTGACTCCATGGCACACAGCCACCACCTCCTCTTAGTTATACATGTTCTACATTTACAGTTGTGACCATTGTAATTAATCCTGATAACAATTACTCAGAATTGGATCATAAAATCCTATCCCTGTAATTCCCCATCCCATTTCACCAGACCCATCTGGAAAAGAGGGAAACTATTCTGTGGGCATTCTACGTTACTCCCCCTCTTGAAACTAAACACACGCATGAAAGCTTGTAAGTCAGCCACTTCATGCCGTTATTGTTGTTGTTGTTTGGTGCCATCAAGTTGGTACTGACTCATAGCAACACTATGTACAACAGAATGAAACATTGCCTGGTCCTAGGTCAACCTCACCATTGTTGTCATGCTTGAGCCCATTGATGCTGCCACTTTGCCAGTCCATCTCACTGGGGGTCTTCCTCTTTTTCTCTGACCCTCCACCTTATCAAACATGATAACATTCTCCAGCAATTGGTCCCTCCTGACAACATGTTCAAAGTATAAGAGATGAAGTTTGGCCATCCTGGCCAAGGAGCATTCTGGCTACACTTCTTCCAACACAGATATGTTTGTTTTTTTTTGCAGCCCATGGCACTTTCAATATTCTCCCCCAACACCATAACTCAAAAACATAAATACTTCTACAGTCTTCCTTATTCATTGTCCAGCTTTCGCATGTATATGAGATTATTGAAAATATCATGACTTGGGTCAGGCACACCTTAGTCCTCAAGCCAACATCTTTGTTCTTCAACACTTTAAAAAGGTCTCCTCCTCCCCCCTTTTTTTTCAAAGTTTTTATTGTAAATTGAGTGATAGTCAACATGAGAGAACATTGGTTTTATACTCACGTTTCATTGCACTGATTACAATCTCCTCTGTACATCATCATTCAACAGTATTTGCATCTATTCCCTCTGTTTTTTTGTTTGGTTTTGTTTTTTGGGGGGATGTATTCAAAAAACACTCAGGAGTACAGAATCATTTAAACAACCAAAGGGCACATTCTGCAATCCTGCCTCCTGGCTGCCAGCACACAGCCTTTCTCTTTCCATGAGTCTACAGTCCTCAGCTTCTCCCTCTCTCTATGTCCTCATCTCTGCCTCCACCTCTGGTGTCACTGCTTCTCTGGATAGGGTCCCACATTCTGCTTGTGCTCTTCTCCTTTGATGGTCCTAGGATTCTCTGTTTCTGGAATATAAGATTAACTACTCCCCTGTTTTTATTATAAAACTTCTTCCTTTAACATTTACAGTTGTGACAGTCACAGTTAGTCATGATAGCAATTACTATTGACTCATAAAAGTCTTATCCCCATTTCTTTTCACCAGACCCGTCTAGACAAGATAAAACTATTCAGTGATTCTTTCTTCCACCACACACTCTGAAATTAAACTCCCTCTTGAAAACTTGTAAGCCAGTCACTTCCTGCCTTTATAGCTCCACATTTTAGATTGCCAGTATCTAAGTTGCCTGTCCGTATCAACCCTGCATACAGAGGGGATAGGATTGATACTTGATGTGAAGACTTCGTCCCTCCCAGTTGGTATTTTGAGCTACTACATCTATAAGTATAGATCAAGTTCATTAAATTGTAGCAATTTACACTTGTTTCCTTTATAAAAAATTTTTTTTTTTATCTTCCTCTAGTCAATTTCTGATCATCAAGCCATTGAAGCTAGGTCAAATAGGTGCTATCTACAAGTTTGGGCGTTCTTATGCATCTCCCCTCACTTCATATCAGCTGGATGTTTCATTCTCATCTCTAGTCCTCCATGGCTATGTCCTTGTCCATGGGCTCAAGAGTCTCCAGGTCTCACCACACTTTGGACCAACCAGCCCTTCCTCTTCTTTCTCTCATTTCCAGGTCAATGGAAATCTATGGAATGTGGTTGAACTCAGCCCTTATCTTCAATGCTGCTTTTCTCCCTCTTCCACTCACCAGTAGACCAGTGTGGTCATCAGCAAGCTTACATGCCTGTTCATGTGATCCCTTTGAGTTTCAGTCTTGGAGGGGAGTTTGTCCTGAAGGGCATTGATTGCTCACCTTGATGGCTTCTTTGGGAATAACCTGCTAGATTTTGTAGTAGCCAATCAGACTGCCATTTTTGTTTCAAGAAGTATCTTCTGTATCTCTAGCTGCTCCAGGAATGTCCCACCTCAGAAGGTTCTGGAGGGGGCTCAGGATTCCACCTAAGGTCCTGTATAGTACAAAAACTCCACAGGAAGCCTATTTCACTCTGTATAGCCCCCGCCATTTAAAAAAAATTTTTTTTAGTGCTTTATTGTGAATTATATGATACTTTACATGGGAGAACATTAGTTTTACATTCATTCTATTGTACATTGTATTATTGCCATGGGTACAATGCCCTCCATGCATCATCAACCAACCAAAGGGTATACCCTGCAAGCCTGCCCCCTGGTCGTCAGCACACAGCCCCTCTCCCTCTCTGGGTCTAAAGCCCCCAGTTGCTCCATTTCTCCATGTCATCGTCTCTGCCTTCATCTCTGGCATCACTGCTTCTCTGGGTAGGGTCCCACTCTTGGCTCTTCTCCGTTGACGGTCCTAGGGACCTCTGCTCCTAGACTGAAAAGTTAATCACCTCCTTCCTGGCTATAAAATATCTACCTTTACATTTCCAACCTTCACAATCAGTCCTGATAATAATTATTCACTATTGTATCACAAGAGACCCATCTGCATTTCATTTCATCAACTCCACCTAGGCAGATTGAATGCTACTCACTGGAGATTCTGCCTTCCTCCAGGCCCCCTGTGTCTAGGTTCCTTCTTGAAAGCTTGTAAGCCAGTCATTTCTTGCCTTTGTAGTCCTAGCACTCCCATTTTTGATAGCCAATGTATAAGTTTCCTGTCTATCAACCCAGTGTACTGAGGAGGCAAACCTGATCATTGATACGAAGAATCCTTCCATTTTGTTTGGATTTTGAGTAACTGCATCCATAAGCAAAGGTCCAGTTCATCAAACTAGCAATTTACACTTGCTCTCTGTATCAAACTTTTATTTTCAACTGGTCAAGTTCTCGTCAGGTAGCCATCCAACCTAGGTCAAATGGGTACTGTCTGCTAGTTTGGGAGTTCTTGCACACCTCCCTCTACTTCAGATCAGCGGGCTACTTCACTCTCAGCCCTGCCCCCAATGACTAGGTCATTGTCTAAGGGCTCAGGAATTCACACATCTTGAACTTCAGAACAGGCAGCCCTTCCTCTTCCCTCTCATCTCAAAGTCAACAAGTATCTACGAAACTTGGCCAAACTTAGCCTTGTCTTCACTGCTGCATTTTTCTCACTTCCTCTCACAAGTAGACCAAGATAGTCACCAGAGAGCGTACAAGACTGCTCGTGTGTTCCCTTTGAGTTTCTTTCTTAGAAGGGGATTACCCTGATGGGCTGATTTTTCTTTCCTTGATGGCTCAAAGGCAGACAGCTTGCTTGATATTTTAACAGCCGAACAGTCTGCTTTTTTTGATGTTGGTCTTTCTTTCAAGAAATATTTTCTGTTTCTCTGGCCATTCCAGGGTTGTCTAAGTGTCTTTTCAGATGGGAGTGTTCCACCTTAGAAGGTTCTGGATGGGCTCAGGATTCCACGTAAGGCCCTATACTCTGCAAAGGCTTAACAAGAAGCCTATTTCTCTGGACAAATTCTGATTCCCCTTTTAGCTACTACAACCAATTATAAGCTGAAGATGAGCAGCAAGCTTTCTGTAACCATAATTCCTAGTATTCCTTTCTATCACACTGAAATGTCCACTTTACAGTAGTAGGCTTAATAGTTAAATACAGTTAATGAAAGCTGCTGTTTTTTAAAAAGTTACTTCCCTTTGTTTCTTTTTTTTCCTCAAGGTGTAGCTAGTTTGAACCAGAGTGCCCTGAGCCGGCCAATGCAAAGGAAACTGGTGACACTTGTAAACTGCCAACTGGTGGAGGAAGAAGGTCGTGTAAGAGCCTTGAGAGCAGCCCGTTCTCTTGGAGAAAGAACTGTAACGGAACTGATCCTACAGCACCAGAACCCTCAGCAATTGTCTGCCAACCTATGGGCTGCTGTCAGGGCTCGAGGATGCCAGTTTCTAGGACCAGGTAAGAAGTAATATTACAGTGATAATTGTTATCAGGACTTGAGGATGCCAATTCTTCCAGAGCTAGGTAGGACTCCTCAGACTCAACTCACCTTCTTTATACATAAAAATCTTGACATACTTAGCAGTAGACTAGCCCTACTGTGGCACTGTGTGATAAGCACTGGACTATCAAACAGAACGTCAGCAGTTCAAACCCAAATGCTTTTGGAAATCCTACACAGGGTGGCTGTAAGTTAGAACTGACTCAACAGTATGCAACAATAACAACAGTTTTTAATTATCCATATTAAAGGTAGTGCTTCTGTGTTTTAGTAAATTTTTCATTTCAACTTCAACTCCCTTTGAGATACGTGACTACTCCAATTTCACAAATTAGACAATGGAATTAGAGAGGCTCAAGATTACAAAGGAGTCCTGGTGTGGGGCTGTGTGTGGGTTTATGCGCCAGATGGCAAAGCTGTTTGAACTGTAAGGTTGGCAGTTCAAGCTCACCAGCTGCTCCTCAGAAACCCTATACAGGGTCGCTATGGGTCAGAACCGACTCAATGGCACTTAACAACAATAAGATTACAAAAGTAGGAAGTTAAGGAAAACTAACTTTTATGTTTTGGTCAGGATTAAAAAGTGAAACTTTTGATTGTTTTCAAACATGATAAAAAATGTTGAGAAAAAAAAAAGAATCACCAAGGGATGATTCTTTTATGATTAGTACTATCCACATACTATTTTATTTCAATATTTACTTATTTTAGGGTTCTTAAGTATTCTTTTATGTTGCCCTTTATTGGTACTTACCTATACAAGTGGGCTTTAAAAAATGTTTGGAAGAATAGAAATAAAAGATAATAGAATTTTCCATGAACTTTTTGAAGCTCCCTTGTACAATTTTTTTAAAATTTGCGTCACAGAAAACATCAAAAACAGATGAAAAAGTCATGACAAATTTCAAATTTTATTGCAAAGGGCTAATTCAGAAGAAAAAGACCAAGAACAGTTAAAAAATCTATAGTAAAGTGTGCAAATAAATAGCCTTCCAACATATAAAAGGATACCAAACCTCTAATATTAAAGGAAATAGTAAAATTGTTTTGAGGTTCATATTTCATGTATTAGATTGATGGTATTCAGAAGCTTAGTAATATACTTTTACCAGGGTTGTAGCTGAATTGGGCATTTAGAACAAATTTGTCATTTGTTCCTTATTAATGGCAGAAATGCAAAGTTGGTACAAACTGCAAGAGAGAAGAATTTGGCAACATACAGTGCAAAATTAATGATGCATTTACCCTTTGGCCCAGCAATCTCATTTCTAGGAATTTATCTGAAAAGTATCATAGCAAAGAGTATAAAATGCATAAAGTTATAAAAACAGTATTTATAACAGCAAACATTTGGAAGCAATCTAAATGTTGAATTTATTAATGCCTAGCTCTGGTAGCGTAGTGGTTACAAATCAGGCTGCAAACCTGAAGGTCAGCAGTTCGAAACTACCAGCTGCTCTGTGGGAGAAAGATGAGGCTTTCTGCTTATGGAAAGATTTACAGCCTTGGAAACCCTGTGCAGGGTCACTATGAGTCGGAACCGACTCCATGGCACACAACAACAACAGTGAAAGATTTTGCATTTTGTTTCCTTGTGTTCTGAAAAATTACTTAGTATAGAGTATGTTTTCTTTTATTTATTTTAAGTAACTTACATTTGTGTATGCGGGAGAAAGATGAGGCTTTCTACTCCCGTAAAGATTTACACCCTCGGAAACCCTGTACAGGGTCGCTATGAGTCGGTTCCGACTCCACGGCACATAACAACAACAACAACAACATTTGTGTATGACTGATATCCTTTTTGTGTTAATGTGGTACAGTAGGATAAGCACTGTACTGTTAACCATAAGGTTGGCAGTTCAAACCCACCATCAGCTCCTCAGAAACTCTGTACAGAGTTGTTATGTGTAGAATCATCTCCATGGCACTTAAACAACAGCAACATAGAAATAATGGAATACCATAAACTGATGCCTAAAGATAACTGTAACAGACGTGTTTTGCAGAATTCCTTATTTATCATGAACTAACGTTTCCTACTCTAATATTTTTAGCTATGCAAGAAGAAGCCTTGAAATTGGTGCTGCTGGCATTAGAAGATGGTTCTGCTCTCTCAAGGAAGGTTCTAGTACTTTTTGTTGTTCAGAGACTAGAACCAAGATTTCCTCAGGCATCAAAAACAAGCATTGGTCATGTTGTGCAACTACTGTATCGAGCATCTTGTTTTAAGGTAAGTAATAAACAACTATTTAAAGATTGCATTCTTAAATGAGAGACTGAGGCTTCCTAGGGAAGGTGCTACTCATCCAGAGACCTTAAGAAGTACAGGATGCTTACTAGAGTTGAGAGGAAACTTTTTTCCCCTTGCATTGATTGTATTTGTGGTACTACCTATTGAGAATCAGAGCACAGAGCAGAACATAGGAAATAAATTGATACGCTTCACTCTTGGGATAGTAAAGGTTAGATTCAGATGCCTAATTCGTTTATATTTACCATTTTAAAAGGGAGTCAAGAATTATACTCAAAATTTCGTAAGAACGAGTAACTGTTGTAACTTCCCCATTATAGTGTTTATCTCCTATCAGGTAGTTATTGGAGTTAAAGCTTTTAATCTTAATGTGACCTGTATGTTGTCCTAGGGCAGTAAGGGAAGTGAAAAGTTGAGAAGATTGCCCCAACTCTGCCTTACTATTGTTATGTGCAATCAAGTTGATTCTGACTCATCGTGACTTCGTATAGGGTTTCTGAAGAACGGCTGGTGGGTTTGAACAGCTAACTTTGTAGTTAGCAGTTCAGTGCTTGTCCTACAGTGCCACATCAGGATTCCAACACTGCATTGGATGATGTTTTTTTTTATGTCTAGTAGAAAGGATAGGGAAGAACTCCAAAATAAGTACAAATACAGTTTTGTTTTCTAATACACTAGAAAGTCTGGACAGGTACTAACACGGCAGACTGAATCCTTGACTATTGCTTGTTATAAGAGTACAGGTTCTTGACTTGGGCAACCTAAAATCCCAAGGACTTGGAAATAGAAAAACCCTTTGACTTGTATGAAGGTAAAACATCTGAATTTAAAACAAAAGTTTATTTTGCTGGTTTTATATAGCCCTAAGAGTGAAAATAATACAGATAGACTAAAATAGATTTTCTTAGTATATTGCTCAATATGAGATACGAGGGAGCTTCAAAAAGTTCATGGAAAAACTCCCATTATTTAATTCCATATTTCAACAAACTTTTTGAAGCTGTGTTATAATAGGTGGAGCTCTGGTGGAGTGGTGGGATAAACATTGGGTTAATAATTGCAGAGTTGACAGTTCAAACCCACCAACTCCTCTGTAGGTGAAATATGAGACTGTCTGCTCCCATAAAGAATTGCATTCTCAAAAAACCTAAGTAGGGTCGCTATCAGTCAGAATCTGTTCACTGGCAATTGGTTTGGTTTGTATTTTATTATAGGTAACTGATGGTTAAATATAGTCAGATAAATTTCATTTAACTCCACTGATGAGGCTTGGACACTGTGAAAAAAAAAAATGTGGAGATGGCATCTGACCTCCTGACATGAGAGGAAAAGGAAAATCACTATCAGCTCAAGGCTGAGGGCAGACATGCTCCCATTCTTTTCTCCTTTGCCATTTCTGTGTGTCCCTCCCAAAGCACTCTGCTTCTCAGCTAGGTTTGATAACTCATTGCAATGGCCGCACAGAAATAAAACAATACTTAGGATTATGGGTTTTATTAGGGAAGTTAACAAATAGTTCATTTCATTAGTCAGGACAGTCTCTTCTGTGTTGTACCCTCATGCTGGCCTCGCTCGCTCTTAGCTCCTTGTCTTGGCCTCTTCCCTGCTCAGACAGTTTTACAAAGCTCTTTTAGCACTGCTGATAAGTGCCCAAAGACAGTAGGTTGTAGCTGCTTATCAGCAAGGGACCCCCTCCCCCACCACCAGCTCCCCTGCGTTAAGTACCTGGATGCACTTCACTAGCAAGCCTCTGCCTGAAGCCAGTGAACTGTACTTGCTCTGTGCTCCATTGGCCACGAAGCCCACCACTCTGTCTTATGTGCTGGCTCTTGCCACTCCTTCCATTCCTCTGCATCTTCTTGGTATTACGGCTATCTGTCCCTGAGTTGAGGAGATTCATTATATAGTGATCTTGGTGCCCAAAGGAGATGCTTCACTTCTGGCTCTTCTCTCTTGGAGGGAGGTAGGGAGATTTCCCCCTTCCTGCTTCTGAGATGGCTCATTTTATACCCATCAGGATGCCAAAACTATGAGAATCCTCTTCAACCATCTCTTTCCCAGGCCCATCAGAACAAAAAGAAATATACCCAATCTGCATGTTTCCAGCCAGTCACTTAATGAGAGCTGACAAAGACTGAAAGAGCCATATCACATACTTCTCTGTACTATCAATACTACCTGCCTGATAGTCATAGTACTTGTTTTCATGTCCTTAGGGAAACTGTTGAATTAAATCTCAAACATCATGTTTTTGGCTAAGCAGCCAAATTATAGAGATCATTTGTCATCCTGATGTATTACTGTGTTTTACTGAATTAATGGGTTTGTTTCCCTAGTAAATATCATGCTGATTTAAGGTTTGTAATTGTCATACATCAATAGCTTCTACTCATATCTGACATCTGAATAATACTCATTTAGAAAATGATTTCAATGTTATGTTCTCATTTTATCCTTATGGGCCTCTAGTTTAAACTGTTAAAGCACAGTGTGTGGAGGGGCAAAAAAATATCATGCTGAGTTAACTGCCAAAAGACCTCACTTGGGTGATAAAAGTATCCCCTGCTTTTCAAAAGTTCACTTTATACCACTTTGCTTTTACAAAAGACCTACCTGTTTCCACTAACTGAATGAAATCCAAAGAGGATTTTCACTGTTAAGAGCAAAGGCAAAATCAAAACTAGCATCTAGAGGCAGCATTCACTCAGTGGAGCAATGAGAATGGGGATACCAATCCCTTTCTCTGGGAACTACACTCGGCACCTAAGCATGAAGCCGCCATAACTTTGAACTGTGTTTGTGAACACTACATTAGTATTACATAAGGTTTCATTTTATTTGGTATGATTTGGTAGGTTACTTAATGATTGTGGGAATGATCAAGAAATATTCCCATATAAAGTGATGATAAATGTTTCTTTACTTTATGCCATTTCAATTAACAGAAGGTTTCCTAAAGAACACTTTAGTTTTGGATTACGAGGGGAACCTGTATTTATTTTTGTAGACTCATTATTGTTCAAGTTCTGGTCTTCAGCTTCATAAGTTTGAAGACTTGAATTTTGTGTATACATTTATGTAGATTCTTTCCTATCAGGTTATTATTCATAATGAGAAATGCAACTATTAAACATTTAAATATATATATTTAAAATTTTTAAATGAGTAATATTTTTATGTTGGTAGATATTTTCCTGTAGAAGAATATCAAGCCTTGCTAGCATAGAATTAGAACAGGGTGAATTAATGATTCTCAAGTCAGCACAGTGATTCTCAACTGAATCACCTTTGGAGCTTTTAAAAGTTTACATTCCTTGGTCCTAATCTCTGAGGATTCTGGTTTGGTATATATATCTAAAATAAGATTTAAACATTCATAGATCCTTTTTTATTACATGATTTTTAAATCAGGGATTCTGATTTAGTAGTTACATATTTTTAAGTTCCATGGGTGATCTTGATGCATATTATTAGAACTTTAATAAGATCAGGTTCACTCTTCATCTTGCTTACTTACATGGGTAAGTCCAATTGTGCATTGAGTTACTTAATATATCTCTTCTATCCATAGTCTTTGTAACTTCCACCAAATGATTTTTCTGATAGGAGAAGGTAGGGGAAGATGGTGATAAGGTTATATAATTAAACTATGAGTGATTATGTTAATAAGGCTAATTGTGATTGCAAAAAATCTAATGTGGTTATAAAATGAGCCATCTCAGAGTAGAAACTGGGATCTCACTACCAAATAGAAAGGAGAACCAGGAGTGGAGCATTGTCCTTTGGACCCCAAGATACCTGCACATTGTACATCCTCAATGCAGGAACAGACAGCTATGACATCAGAGAAGCAACAGAGGAGCAAAACCAAGGACCAGAGCATGAGACAAATCAGTGGGCTTTCCTTCCTTTCCCTGAATAAAGCTGAGTTGTCTTCAGGCAGGAGGCTCGCTTGTAGAGTAGGGTGCCTTCAGACACTTAATGTGGAGAGCTAGGTTTGCTGACTCATGGAGCTAGAGCCGAACACCTTTGAGCTGAGGCTTATAGTTGAATTGATGTCTTTTGGGTATTTATTAGCAGTGCTAAGAGAGCTTTGTAACATTGTGTGAGCAGAGCCAAGGCCAGGGCTGAAGGCCAGAAGAGTCCAACCTGTAGGCAAGGCAGAGAAGAGGTTGTCCTGACCAATGATTTGTGTCCTAAATATTTATGATCCTGAATTGTAACTTATTAACTTTTCTAGTAAACCCCATAATTGTAAATATTGTGTCTTGAGTTCTGTGTGGCCATTTCAAAGCCAGCTGATAAACAGATAAACTTGTGGGATGACTGGTTTCAGATTTGACAAAGGAGGAAAGGGTGGAGGTATGTCTTCCCTCAGCCTCCTTAGGAATGGACCTTGGGATGATGGTGATTCTCTTCCTCCCCTTTATGAAATCAGAAGAGGTCAGATGTCTCTGCTTCCTTGCTGTTTTTACAGCTACCCACAGGGCACTCCATATCATAGATGGTATATGAATGAGCTACTACTTCTCTGGTTATTTAGGCTTGTTTATTCAGTTCTTCTATTCTTTAGGTTGATAATTCTGCCTTTTATTTCCACAAAGTTACGTTTTATATAGGTTGTAATGCAATATAGAGCCCTGGTGGCACTCTTGTGATAAGCACTGAACTCCTAACTGCAATGTTCACAGTTCAAACCCATCACAGTCACTCTGTGGGTGAGAGGTGTGTCTCCTGTAAAGATTTACAGTCTCAGAAATACTATACAGCATTACTATGAGTTGGAATCGACTCAGTGGCGATGGGTTAGTTTGTTTTGCATAAATTAAAATAATTTTTTCTTAATCAAAATAATATTTGGTATCCTTTTGATTTGAATTTTGGGTGTCTGTACCTCATCTTAAATATGTTTTATTGATTACCAAAGAGAAATAATTACACCCATTGTGAACTAACCGATACCACTTTGGTAGTAACTTGATTTCCCTATATTCATGCTCTTGGGAGCATATTGCTTTTATTCTCATGTGCCAACAGCAGCAGTAGAACATCCAGTGAGATAGTTAGTATTGGTTTCATTTTATAAATGAGGAAATTAAGTTTCTAAACATTTGAATGACTTATTTAGGAGCTGGCACTGGTATTATGTGTTCTGAATCCTAACCAAGTTTCAGATTTTGCTGCAGCCATTATCAAAATCAGCTTGTATCTATTGTGGATGATGCCTGCGTGTTTCAATGATTAAACAACCTTGTTAGAATATGTTCGACTCCTGGTGTGACATTTATACTGGACTGCAAACCACACAGTGGGCAGTTCAAACTGTTATGCCCAGAATTCAGGGTCCCCAAAGACCACTCAGGAGCTGTGTACCGATGCAAATACATAAGGGAAGCTCGAGGCAGGTCTCTAACCTTATCCGACGCATCGGAATAGGGAAAGAGCCCTGAATTCATCGTCTGCAGGGTTTTTATAGAGTTTTCAAACAGCTCAGGTTTCTCAGCTTTACAATCTTTGGATTGGTTAACAATTGGCAAACTATAAGATGTTACAGTTTAATTGGTCAGGACTGGTGGTCTTTGTTCTTAGGCTAGGGTAAAGGAAGACAGCTAACCTCTGGCCTTGAGCTGCCTGGCTATTTATACATATATCATTTTCTTGGAGCTAGAGGACGTGTTCAGGCTAATGTACAGAATGGAGATTGACCTTGTCTCTGGAGGGAACTAAAAACTGAGGCCTTGTCTATTTAAAATGCTTTCCTGAGCCTGACTAGAGTTTAGTCAAGCAGTCTCTAGGTAGGCAAAATCAGGTAAAATCAGTTTGGTCCTTACAAAACCTACTACCTGCTCATTGGAAACCCTACACAGGGTTGCTATGAGTTGCAACTGACTTTGCAGCACTTAACTGCAACAACAATTAGGATATGTAACACTTTGTAACTTTTGAAATTTTTTTTTAATCACTGAAGTCAAGTATAGATTGTTTTAAGTGCTATTGAGTCAGTTCCAACTCATTGCAACCCTGTATACAGCATTTCTAAGGAACTGCTGATGGATTTGAAATGCCGACTTTGCAAACAGTCCAATGTTTACCATACGTACGTACAGTGCTATACCAAGACCCAATTGTGGTAGTGCTAATCTACCAGTTGGTTATCTTGCTTATCTCTCAGTCTATCATTGGTTGCTGCCCAAGTGGAGCTTTTTAAAAATGTTTTATTGTGAATTATGTGATAGTTTACATGGGAGAACATTAGCTTTACATTTATCCTATCATATATCGTTTCATTGCCCATGGTTACAATCCCCTCCATGCATCACCAACAAACCAAAGGGTATACCCTGCAAGCCTGACCCCTGGTTGTCAGTACACAGCCCCTCACTCTCTCTGGGTGTAAAGTCCCTAGCTGTTCCATCTCTCCATGTCATCGTCTCTGCCTCCATCTCTGGGGTCACTGCTCTGGGTAGGGTTCCGCTCTCTGCTCTTCTCCCTTGATGGTTCCAAGGACCTCTGCTCCTAGACTGCAAAGTCAGTCACTCCCCTCCTTTTGCTACAAAATGTCTGCCTTTACATTAACAACCCTCACAATCAGTCCTGATAACAATTATTCACTATCGTATCACAAGAGACCTATCCGCATCAGCTTTCATCAGCCCCACCCAGATAGATTGGATACTACTCTGTGGAGATTCTACCTTCCTTCACACCCTCTGGATCTAGGATGCCTCTTGAAAGCTTGTAAGCCAGTCACTTCTTACCTTTGTGGGTCCCCGGTCCCCCCCCCCCCCCGTTTTGAGTAGCCAATGTCCATGTTGCCCATTCCTGTCTACTCTTTTGTATGGAAGGAGCTCTGGTAGCGTAGTGGTTACGAATCGGGCTGCGAACCTTAAGGTCAGCAGTTCGAAACTACCAGCCGCTCCGCGGGAGAAAGATGAGGCTTTCTACTCCCGTAAGGATTTACACCCTCGGAAACCCTGTACAGGGTCGCTCTGGGTCGGAACCGACTCGACGGCACTTAACAACAACAACAACTTTTGTATGGAGGTGGGTGGGAATGATCCTCGATGTAAAGATTTGTTTCCTCTTGAGCTACTGCATCCATAGGTGTAGGTCAAGTTCATCAAATTGTATCAGGTTACTCTTTCTTCTAGTTGAGCTCTGATCATCCAGTCATTGAAGCCAGGTCAAGTAGGTATTATCTGCAAGTGTGGGTGTTCTTATGCATATGCCCTCTGTTCTTATCAGCTGGACACTTCACTCTCCACTCTAGTCCTCTGTGGCTGTGTCACTGACTCCGGGCCCAAGATTCCTCAGGTCTTGCCACACTGCTGGCCAACCAGCTCTCCACCTGAGTTCACAGGAGTCTATTGAACATTGTAGGGCTTAGCTCGCAGCTCCATTGCTGTTTTTCCCTCACTTCCCCTTATCGGTAATGAACGTGGTCACCAATCAGAGCATGTATTCCCATTGAGCCTTAGTACTGGAAGGGGGTTTGCACTGAGGGGACCCGACTAATTGTCTTGATGTCTCCTGAGCCAGCAGCTTGCTTGTTCTTGTAGTAATCTGTCAGACTGCCTTTACTGTTTTATATTTTTCCTGTCTGTCTTTTAAGAAGTATCTTCTGTTCTTGTAGCTGCTCCAGGCTGGTCTGTTTGTCCTTTCAAGTGGAAATTTCCCACCTCAGAATATTCTGGATGGGGTTCAAGATTCCACCTATGGTCTTTTGTAATGCAGAGGCTCCACAGCAACAAGCCTCCTTCACTGGGCACATTGTAGCCCCATTTTAGGTATCTCAATCAACTATAGGCAGAAGATGGACTTACAAGCTTTCTATGGTGATATTTCTGGCTATTCCTTTCTCTCCCCCTTCAAGTGTCTATTTTATAATGGTATGCCAGAAAAACCAAGAGTCAAAAGACAGACAAGCATCTTAACATTATTTCCCTCCTCTTGCCCATTCCAACCATGTCTCAATCCCTATATCCCAGAACCCTGTTGTTCCAAGGTTGTGTGTACATCATTATTTACCACTGTCCTACAAAGTGGTGCTTTTTAAAAAACACGAATCTGATCATGTCAGTCCTCCTTAAAAGTCTTCAGTGGCTCCTCAGTCCCTTCAGGATTACCCAAATTTCTTTCTGTATAAGACCCTATATGATTTATCTCCAGCCTGTATTCTAGCCCTTAAATGTCTTTGCTCTGCTCCTTCTTGTTTCTAGCTCATGTACTTTATACTCTCAGGATTCTGTTCCTCACTTTCTGTTCATTCTTTAAGATTCAGTTTGTGTAATCTTCAGCTGAGGAAAGTCTTCTTAATATCCCTTTCCTCCTTGACTAGTCAGCTTTAATTGCTTTTCCTACATGTTTCCATAGCTTTATAATAATGCTTAACACTGTAATTTTTATGTTTCCATGTCTCTCTCTTAACAGCTGCTACACTCATTAAAGACAAGGGCTGAATTTTAGAAGATTTGTTCCTTTAAGGATTTGTAGTGAGGACATTGTTTTTTCATCTTTGCACCTTCTTTGTTAGGTTTCTGATAGGTGGTAGGTAGATGCCACACCCTCCAAAAGTACATGAATTGGTTAGGGGAAAGAGCAGACAAATTACGATTTTTTTTAAATCACCTTTCTATTTTTTAGGTCACCAAAAGGGATGAAGATTCTTCCCTGATGCAACTAAAGGAGGAATTTCGGAGTTATGAGGCATTACGCAGGGAACATGATGCCCAGATTGTTCATATTGCTATGGAAGCAGGACTTCGCATTTCACCTGAGCAGTGGTCCTCACTTCTGTATGGTGACTTAGCACATAAATCACATATGCAGTCTATCATTGATAAGGTTTGTGAAATTTAAAATGTTGATTTATATAACCATAATTGTTATGGTGAAGAGAAGTTGAATTTTCTAAATTGATCAAGCGAATGCAGATAATAGAATAAAATTAACTAGGCTTACTAAGTCTTAGGTTTATCTATATTCTGACCCTAGAGTAATAATAAAACTTATAAGCAAGTTTTCTAAGTGTCTAATGATGATTTTCATAGGGCAGATTCTGAGGTGAAAAGTTAATTCATCACTGATACTTCTACTATGGAATCTGAAGACACACAAAAACCTATGTAATATTGACTAAATGAAAGCATTTGAAAATAGATGTGTTACAAGAACCAAAGAAAAGCCATTCTCATTTCTCTTTGTTAGCTCCAGTCTCCAGAATCATTTGCAAAGAGTGTCCAAGAGTTGACAATTGTTTTGCAACGAACAGGTGATCCAGCTAATTTAAATAGACTGAGGCCTCATTTAGAGCTTCTTGCAAATATAGATCCTAACCCAGGTATGTGGAAAAATGTTTCCATTTCTTACAAGTTTGCTACCTCTGAATTTAGTGATCCATCACATTATTGCTAACAAACTCTTCTCTCAACTCTTTTCTCCCTGGTGGCTTATTTTAGATGCTGTGTCACCAACTTGGGATCAGCTAGAAAATGCAATGGTTGCTGTTAAAACAGTGGTTCATGGTCTTGTAGATTTCATACAGAATTATAGTAGAAAAGGACATGAAGCACCTCAGGTAAGTATAATTATGGCATTTCTGACTGTTGTTGTTGTTGTTATGTGCCGTGGAGTCGATTCCGACTCATAGTGACCCTGTACAGGGTTTCTGAGGCTATAAATCTTTATGGGAGCAAAAAGCCTCATTTTTCTCCTGCAGAACAGCTGGTAGTTTCAAACTGCCGGACTTGAGGTTAGCAGCCCAATTCGTAATCACTATGCTACCAGAGCTCCTTTCTGATTGAACATTTTTAAAAAAGGGTTTGTTAATGGACTTCTTAAGTGACTACTCGTAAGATATAATAAAATAAATATAGCAGGAAATTTGCCATTTGAACCATTTTTATAAAGTGTACAACTCAGTGGTGTTGATTATATTCACTATCCTTCATAAGCTTTATTGTCTATTCTTTTGGGGAAAATTCAAGTGTTAGTGTCTGTGATAAGTATTTTATAGCACAACAGTTTGAACATAGACTATGTTGGTTATGAGTCCAGTGGACTAAAAAATATTTTTGACCCAAGTAAGGAGCTCTGGTAGCATAGTGGTTGCGAATTGGGCTGCTAACCTCAAGGTCGGCAGTTCGAAACTACCAGGTGTTCATGGGAGAAATATGAGGCTTTCTGCTCCCATAAAGATTTGCACCCTCGGAAACCCTGTGCAGGGTCACTATGAGTTGGAACCAACTCCACGGTACTTAACAACATTGTTTATTAATATTTTTTTTCCATTTTGAGTAATTAGTTTTTCTAGTGTGGGGAAATTGTCACCTTTTTTCCCATTGCCTTCACCCAAATGAATCTGTAAATGTGTGGGATTTGAATTTTAATGTTATTTTCTATGTACTTTAGAAGGCATTTTTCAAAGCTATACTTCTTTATTCTAAAGACATTGATTTATTATGCTAGTATGAGGCAGTCACTCGTTTAATATTTTTAAATAAATTATTTTTAACCCTCCCGCTATCTGCAAGGTAGATACTGTTCACAGACTGAAGTTTAAAGAGGTTAAATAACATAATCTAAGTTGATGGCACTTAACAACAACAACAAGGTTGTACGACTAGTAGGTGACAGAGTTTGGATCAAATATACTCTAAGTCTGTAATCTTTCCATTTTTCTGCTCTTATTCTTTAGAAGACATCCTAATATTCAGAGTTTTGTTGTTGTTGAGTGATGTTGAATTGGTTCCAATTCATAGCAGCCCTGTATAGGCTATGGGTCGGAACCGACTCGATGGCACTTAACAACAACAACATAGGGTTTCTGAGGAGAGGTTGGTGAGTTTGAACTGAAATAAAGACTTATTTCTTTAGGGTTACAAAAATAATAATGACATTTTAGGCTTTAATGCAAATTAAAGCAACTATGAGCATTTTATATTCTGTTTCATTATTTGTGTGAGCTTAAACAGCTCCAAGCTCAGAGGAGAGTTGTTCTCTCAAGTTGACAAATAAATGGTATGTCTTAATTTTTTTTCTTTCAAGGTTTTTCTTTTTTGTTTGTTATTTAAGTTGTTTAAATTTTTTAATTGTGAGTTGGTTTACAGAGCAGGGTTTTTCTTTTTTTAATGCTTTAAAATGGTTTGTTTGGTTTTGGTATTTGAATTTTAAGACAGCAATAAATTGATGAGAATATCTTTTATTTTATTGGGCATTGTGTTGCCTGACAAAAAAATAGTCATACATTGAAACAATTTCACTTAATCCTTGGAGTCCTAGTGTGGCACATAATACTTCTAACTCCTCTGGTCTGCTAACTGCAAGGTCAGCAGTTAAAACTTACTGGCTGTTCCTCAGAAACTCTATACACAGTTGATATGAGTTGGAACTAACTCAGCGACGTTTAGCAACAACATACAGTCTTAGAAGGAGTGTCTAATTGCCACCTCCAGGTTTTATACTTCATAACTCACAACAGGAATTCTATTAAAATAGAATGTAATATGAGAAAGAATTAAGGGTATACTCCTTTAGTTCTGAAGTCCCAAAAAGTGATTAGCAGCAAGAATCTTCAGTTTTTCATGGCATCTGATGTTTTCCTTTTTGTAGCCTCAGCCAAACAGTAAATACAAGACTAGCATGTGCCGAGATCTACGACAACAAGGGGGTTGTCCGCGAGGAACAAATTGTACATTTGCCCATTCTCAGGAAGAACTTGAAAAGTAAGTTTTGAGAATTCCGTTTCATACAGGTTTAGCTTTTGCTCCTTAAGGAAGTTTTTTTTTTATAGTCTTAAAGTTTGTGATGAGTTTCAGAGCTACAAGTAAATTCACACTGTAGAGTTCTTTAAAATAGCTTTTCTTTTATTGAAACCATATCTTGTTACTGTGGGAGCAGCATTAACATGATAAGTGATTTGAAACTTTATTTGAGGGTCATATTTTGAGACCAGTGTATAGCTAGAATGGACTTCTACTAAGCTTGTGTGCAGTACAAAAATACTCTTCTGTGCATCAGACTAAATGGTAAAAAGCAGATGCATTTTTTTTTTAGTGGCTTCTGATTTTAATGTTCTTTTTGGTTTTTTTTTTTGCCTGCCTTTTCTTTTCTCTCTCTCTCTCTTATCCTAGGATAACCCCTTTTCCTATATTCATTTACCTCCAGATCTAAAAGCTTATGGTGATAAGCTGTATTACACATGGTCCAAATTTCTATCATTGTTTTGATTTTTAACCAAAGCATTTACCATTGATACCTCTAAAAAATTGATCCTATCCTTTCTTTTAAAAAACTGGCCTGTATATCACGTATTTATTGAGCCATTTCCATTTTGTTTTTAGACACTTAAATTGAACTAATTTTCTCCTCCCATATGTTTCCTTTTCCATTCTGTTCTGCCGTCTCCCATTGTGCCCTGCCCAGCCATCTATACATGCCATGTTGTAGGTGTAGTCTGTCCCAGTTTTCTTTCATCCATTTGTCTTAATCAGCTACCATGTTACACACCATTTCAACTTTGTATCTATTTTCTTAACTTATATCTCTTTATTTTCATATTTATAGTTAGGGCAGTCATCTTCTCACTAATCATGTGTCTGCCATTCCTTACCACATCTCTCATTGTTTCCCACAAGACAAAAATCTTTTAAGAACAGAAATTTACTTGTGTCACTTCTGTGCACCTAAGTCTTTGGTAGAACCTCATTGCCCTGGAGATAAAAGATAAAAATGTGAATTGTGGCCTGACAGACACCCTGCCAGCCAATGCCATATCATTTTGATCTTGATAAGAGACATTTTAGTTGACTAGTGGGGACAAAGACCTAATTTTTGTGGATTGATAGTAAGGAGATCTGGTAGCGTAATGGTTACGAATCAGGCTGCCAATATGAAGGTCAGCAATTCAAAACTACCAGCGGTTCTGCGGAAAAAAGATGAGGCGTTCTGCTCCCATCAAGATTTACAGCCTCAGAAACCTTGTGCAGGGTCATTATGAGTTGGAATCATCTCCATGGTACTTAACCACAACAACAACAGATAATGAGTAGTAAAAATCAAAAGCCATGAAAATAGACAGTTGTTTTATGGACTTAGTTATAATAGGAATCTGGGAAGTAGGATATACGAGGGAATTAAAAATGTTTGTGGAAAAACTCTATTATCTTGTCATTTCAATTTCATTGAACTTTTTGAAGCTCCTTTATAAGTTCAAAAGGGATTTGGAGAGTGGTTTATGTTTTAAGATGCCTAACATAAGTCATGTATTGGAAATGAGTAAAAAAGGGAGATAACAATGCAGGAGGGTAAAAAGATAATTACAGGAGTGAAGTCTTTAATATGTACTTAGAACCTGGGATTTAAGTGGAGGGTTTGATCTTAGAACTTAGCAGAAAGATTAGCCTCAATTAGGAACAGGAAGTCTTAATTCCTTGTTTTAGTAGAAAAGACAATGTGTGGTAATAGATGTAGGATGGTTAGTGGAATTGATGTTGGACATTTTCGTATTTCTCTGGTTTCAACTATTTTCCTATTTAGTTGGAGACAAGATCATCAGTTGTGGAAGGGCTGTGGAGAGTCGAAGGGCCAAGGATGTTAAAGATGAGAAAGTGAATTCAGTTGAGAAATGTATTAACATATAATTTGGCCATTTTATTTAATTTGGTCAGAATTTTGAGAGGAGTGTAGATAGCATGATTAGACACTTTTTGAGCTGCTTGGGAGCAGACACAAAGTAAATGAATTCGGTTAACCAAAATTGGAGTTTTATTCAACAGAGTGGGATTGTACCAAGGGAGTAAAAGGTACTTATTTTCAGGGGGGATTTTAATGGCAGACGGTGGAATCTGAACTGAGTAGGAAAAGGAGTGAGTGCTTTAGGGGAGAGCACAGGAATAATTAAAAAATAGTAAGGAATATAACTATAAAATTATTAGAAGAAAATGTAGGTACAAGGCTGTTGAACCTAGTATTTCATGATAGATTATCAGATATGATCATAAAAACTACAGCAGCAAAAGACAAAATAATTGGAACTCATAATTAGTACTTTTGTATATCAGAGGACTTTATCATCAGGTTGAAAAGACAACCTATATATTGTGAGAAAATATCAGGAACACTATGTCATACGTAGGAATTCTTGGGTTATGCTGCAGGATAATGCATTGGATCGCAGTCTCTGCTTGAACTGCAAGGTCTGCAGTTCAAACCCACCAGCTGCTCTTTGGAAACACTATATAGGGTGGTTACGAGTCAGAACTGACTTGACAGTTCCTAAACACAAATATTATACATGAGTCTAATACCATAATATATATAAAACTACTTAACAACAAAAATATAAACAACCCGTTCAAAAAGTAGACCAAGAACAACACTCCCAAACAAAAAATTGGGTGTTGCTGTAGATGCAGAGGAGTCCTGGTGTGTAGGATAAACACTGAACTGCTAAACATAAGGTTGGTGGTTCAAACTCACCAGCCACTCCTCGGGAACCCTAGTATTACTGTGAGTCGGAATCGACTTACTGGCATTTAACAGCAACTTAGATGCTGATACTAATTAGACATAACCAGTCACCTCATGGATTTGTTATTTTGAATTAGAGGTTTAGGGTCATGGTTTTTCATGGAACATTGTAGTCATTTGGCATAGTATGGTTCTTAAAATTTACGTTCTACCTCCTAGTATGATGAGTAGTGTGTGAAGTCTTAAAAGTTGGAGTGGCCATGTAAGATACTGCTCTTGGTAACTATCCATCTGAAACAAAAGAGAAAGAAATACACCCAAGAGTTACAGGATCAGTTATCTCCATGAATCACTTCTTCCTCTACCTTGAGACTAGAAGAACTAGATGGCATGTGGCTACCACTGTTAGATGGATCCTGATGTAAGGAAGGAAAGCATGGACCCAAACTTCAAATTTTTAAAGAATCTAGACTTAACTGGATGTACTGAAGCTGTAGGAGTCCCTGAGATTATTGGCCTGAGATATTCTTTTTTTTTTTAATATAAGGTTTTTATTGTGGATTAAGTGAAAGTTTACAGGGCATATCATCAGTTTCACATTCAACCATTCATATAACTTGTTTCATTACATTGATTATAATCTCCTCCATATACCATGAGTTAAAAATATTTCTCTCTATCCACTTTAGCTTTTTAAAAAACACACAAAATCTTAGTCCTTCTCTTCTTAGATGATGAATCTAGAGTCCTCAGCTGTGCCCCCTCTCCATGCCCCCATCTCTGCCTCCATCTCTGGTGCTTCTGCTTCTCTGGATAAGGTCCCGCATTCTATTTGTGTGTTCCTCCCTTGAAGGTCCTAGGATCCTCTGTTTCTGGACTGTAAGATTAACCACTCCCGTTTTTTTGTTACAAAACTTCTACCTTTACAATTGTGACAGTCACGATTAGTCGTGATAACAGTTATTCACTATTGAATCTTACGAATCTTATCCTCATCTCCTTTCACCAGACCCATCTAGACAAGATGATAAATATTCAGTGGGGACTCTTTCTTTCCCCCCACCCTCTTAAACTAAGCTCCCTCTTGAAACCTTGTAAGCCAGTCACTTCGTGCCTTTATTGCCCCCTCATTTTAGGTAGCCAATGTCTAAGTTGCCCGTTCCTAT